ATAAGAGTTGGTATGTTGTATTTTCATTTTCATTTGTCTCTAGGTATTTTTAAATTTCCCCTTTGATTTCTTCATTGATCCAATGGTTGTTCAGTAGCATGTTGTTTAGTCTCCACATGTTTCTGACTTTCCCAGTTTTTTTCTTGTAGTTGATTTCTAGTTTCATAGCATTGTGGTCAGAAAAGATGGTTGAGATGATTTCAGTCTTCTTAAATTTATTGCAGGTTGCCTTGTTTCCCAAGATATGGTCTATCTTTGAGAGTGATCTATGTGCACTTGAGAAGAATGTGTATTCTGCTGTTTTTAGATGGAATGTTCTCTACATATCTATTAAGTCCATCTGATCAAGTGTTTCATTTAAATATACTTGTTGACTTTTTGTCTTGATGATCTGTCCATTGATGTAAGTGGGTTATTGAGGTCTCCTACTATTATTGTTTTGCTATTAATTTCTCCCTTTAGGTCTGTTAATAATTGTTTTATGTACTTTGGTGCCCCTCTGTTGGGTGCATAGATATTAAGAAGTGTTATGTCCTCTTTATGGTATGTCCCTTTTACCATTATATACTGCCCATCTTTGTCTCTCATTGTCTTTTGCAATTTGAAGTCTGCTTTGTCTAAGTAGGCAACACCTGCCTTCTTTTGTTTTCCATTACCTTGGAGTATTGTCTTCCATCCCTTCACCATGAGCCTATGTTTCTCTTTAGAGCTGAGATGTGTTTGCTGGAGGCAACATATTTTTTGGGCCTTATTTTTTAATCCATCCAGCTACTCTGTCTTTTTATTAGAGAATTCAATCCATTTACATTTAGAGTGATTATTGATATGAGGGCTTAATACTGCTATTTTATCTCTTGTTTTCTGGTTGGTTGGTTGTTATGTCTAATTATATATGGTTATTATGTTTCCGTTGTTTCTCTTCCTTTGTATTTCTGACTGCCATTTCATTTTCTTAGTTTTCTGAGAAGGTTTTCTCAGTTTTCTCTCTTTTTGTGAATTGTGGCTCTGCTCTGATTTTTTGTTTAGTGGTTACCATGAGGTTTGTATAAAAGATCTTCTAGATGAAATAGTCCATTTTCTCATAGCCTCTTATCTCCATCCCTATCTTCTTCCCCTTCTGAGTTATTGCTGTTGCAAATTTTTCTGTTTTTAGTGTTGTGAGTTTGTAACTAAGTTGAAGTGTTTATACTTACTTTTGATGCTCTCTTTCCCTTTATCTTTTAAGTTATAATTGAGTATTTGCCTCCGTGTTCTGATAGCTGCAGTTTTCTGATTTTGTCTATCTCTTTGCTCAAAGTTTTGTAGACCTTTGCCTTTTTGTTTCTAGTGGGAGGGCATCTTTAATTATTTCTTGTAGGCGAGGTCTAGTGCCAATGAACTCCCTCAGCTTCTGCTTATCTGGGAAAGCTTTTATTTCTCCATCATATCTGAAGGAAAGTTTCACTGAATAGAGTATTCTGGGCTAAAAGTTTTTGTCTTTCAATATTTTGACTATATCATCCATTCTCTCCTAGCCTGTAGGGTTTCTGCCAAGAAATCCACTGAAAGCCTAACAAGGTTTCCCTTGTAGGTTATTTTCTTCTGCCTTGCTGCCCTTAATATTTTTTCTTTGTCATTGATTTTTGCCAGTTTTACTATTATACGCCTAGCTTTGATGTAATTACACTTTCTATTAGCTTCATGTATTTGTCTGTGTTTTTGTTTGTTTGTTTGTTTTTCAAAGGAAGAACTTAATTTTGTGGGTGTGAAGATTTGCCCTGAGCTAGCTAATATCTGTTGCCAATCCTCCTCTTTTTTTTTTTTTTTTTTTTTTTTTGCTTGAGGAAAATTAGCCCTGAGCAACATCTGTGCCCATCTTCCTGTACTTTGTATGTGGGATGCCTCCACAGCATGGCTGATGAGTAGAGTAGGTCTGCATATGGGATATGAACCCATGAACCCCGGGCTGCCAAAGCAGAGTGTGCAGAACTTTGACAACTTGCCCATGGGGCCAGCCCCAGCTTCATATATTTGTAAATCTCTTTCCTTCCACAGGTTTGGGAAGTTCTCAACTATTATTTCTTTGAACAAGCTCTCTGCTTCTTTCTCCCTCTATTCTCCCTCTGGAATACCTGTAATCCTTACGTTGTTTTTCCTAATTGAGTCAAATATTTCTTGAAGAATTCCTTCTTTTCTTTTTTTTCTAAAGATTTTATTTTTCCCTTTTCTCCCAAAGCCCCCTGGTACGTAGTTGTGTATTTTTAGTTGTGGGTCCTTCTAGTTGTAGCATGTGGGATGCCACCTCAGCCTGGCCTGATGAGCAGTGCCATGTCCACGCCCAGGATTCAAACTGGTGAAACCCTGGGCCGCCGCAGCAGAGCACACGAACTTAACCACTCAGCCACAGGGCCGGCCCCTCCTTCATTTTTTAAAAATCTTAGTTCTGTCTCCACCTGTAGAATTTCTTTATTTTTATCCTCTAAATTACTAGTTCTTTCCTCCATAACATTAGCTCTATTTTTTAATAATTCTAAATTATTTTTTATTTCATTAATTGTGTTTTTCATATCCAGAATTTCTGCTTGATTTTTTTAATAGTTTCAGTCTCTTCAGTGAAGAGATTCATTTTATTCCTGAGCTCACTGAACTGCCTTTCTGTGTTCTTTTGTAAATCATTGAGTTTCTTTATGACAGCTATTTTGAATTCTCTGTCATTTAGATTGTAAATGTCTGTGCCTTCAGGATTGGTTTCTGGAGAATTGTCACTTTCCTTCTAGTCTGGTTTGTTGCTGCAGTTGCTCGTGGTGTTTGATGAACTGATCTTTTGTCAGGGCCTTTGTGGTAGTATTAGATCACAGATTCCACCTGCTACCACTAGAGGGAAGCAGAAGAGTTTCTGGTCCCACCCCGTCTGCTGGAAGCTGTGGGAGTATTATAGGTGCTTGCACCAGCCTGGGGAGCATTCAGGTGCTTGTGTGGACTGCTTGGTGGTGGGGAGCTTCCTCACCTGGAGGAGCTAGGGCCACTCCTTGGGTCTGCAGGGGCATGGTGGGCTCCCCCACCCCCCGCCCCACAGGGAAAGCCATCACCAGTGGACTAAGGGCTGCCACTGCCTCTTCCTACATTTGCCCTGGCGCATGTTCCCGCTTTTGGGGGGTTTGTGCCAGGCTCAAAAGCATCTGTGCAGATGCATGGGGCTACCAGAGGAGGGCAGGGAGTGCTCACCTATCTCCACCACTTCCCGGAGGGTCAGTCAATCCACCCTCAGATCTATAGCTGCATAGTCTCTCAGGTGTCCTGTTGTGCTGTATGGGCTTCCTCCATTGGTTAGTGAATGTCCATTTAGTTGCAGTTCAGAAGGGGGAGAGAGAAAAGGAACAGCTCACTCTGCCATGTTGCTAACATCACCTCATCCTCTTAGTTTTTGAAAATACAGTTCTGATCTTGAAAATTCTCAATGACTCTCCATTACCTACTGATTAAAATTTAGACCACTTAGTCTGGCATTCAAAAATATCTATGCTCTGGTCTCAAAAGACTCTCTCAACTTTGTAATTTAAACTTCCCCTTCATGTACCCCCGACCCTGACAAAAACTAGAATTAATCATTTCCTATCTCAGTCAGTTGAGATAGACCTTTTCTTAGTCCATTTGGGCTGCTATAACAAAATACCATAGACTGAATGGCTTATAAACACCATTTATTTCTCACAGTTCTGGAGGATAAGTCCCAAGATCATGACTCCAGCAGATTCGGTGTCTGGTGATAGCTTCCTGGTTCACAGACTGCACCTTCTCCCTTTGTCCTCACATGGTGGAAGGGAGCAAGCAAGGTCTCTGGAGCCTCTACATAAGGACACTAATCCTATTCATGAGGGCAGAGCCCTTATCACTTCCCAAAGGCTCCACCTCATAATACCATCATCTTGGAGGTTAGAATTCCAACATGTAATTTTGGGGGGACATAAACATTCACACTGTAGCAACTTTCCTTCTGAATCCATTCCTGATTCTAGCTGGGAATTCTCTGAAATTTTATTACACTTTTACTTTCTTTATGACATTTATTACATATTCCTTTTTGTTGGACAGATTTTTGTCATATTGGTCACATCTCCCCTACCTTCTTGGAAAATCTTTGAGAACAGAATCCGTATTTTACTATCTTATTCACCTTTTTATCCTATGTGGTACCTTGCACATAGCAGACATTCAGTAAACATTTGTTGTATGGATGGCTGGGTGGAAATAAAGCTGAAGAGAACAAGATACAGAACTCACATTTCAAGTACTCTAACTACCACTGGAAGGGAACCTGCCTACTTGCCAGAAAAAAACTGCTCATCTATTGAGACTTGTAGCTAGGGACCTCATGGTTGGTTGATCTTAATTAGGCTCTTCTTTTGAACTAAACTTGTACCCAAGACTGCAGTTGTAAAAACTGCTGTTGAAACTTAGTCTAGCATTAAGCTCCGAGTACCTCTAGCCGTTTGGGCCAGATCTTTGAGATTCTGCCCTCCCATTGGAAGAAAGAAGTGGCCTCTGCCTAAGCTTCCTGGTCAAATGTGTGATTCATGATATGAGATATTTTGCTTCTTTGGAAAACCAAAGAATTGGAGCCTCAAAATGTTTTTCTTCCCTTTCATGATCTCAAAAGACAGTTTTTTGTGCCAACAGAGCCTGCAAGTCTTTCAAATCTTTGTCCGAAAAGAACTATTTGAGGACAAAGGAGAATTACCTCAGAAAAGCAAAGCTGGAGCTGGGAGTTTTGTTTTTTTGCTTATTTTGATATGAAAACAAAAGCCTGACCTTATGAAAAGAGGGGCATCTACCAGAGTTATAGCTCAATGATGATCTAGCCTGAGTAGGAGAATATCTTCTAAATTTTCTCAGAGATGGTTCAAGGAATGGGAAAGGATGAATTTTAGTAGTCCAGACATGTGCAATGGGCTGATGCGACTAGATTGGGAGTACAGCCACAAGTCTTTGTTCACACAGATTTCTCTGTCCCCTCCGCTTAGGTGGATCACTTAGATAAGAATGGGCAGTGTGCTTTGGTCCATGCTGCGCTCCGAGGTCATCTGGAAGTTGTCAAGTTTTTGATTCAGTGTGACTGGACAATGGCTGGTCAGCAGCAAGGAGTGTTTAAGAAGAGTCACGCCATCCAACAGGCCCTCATTGCTGCAGCCTCCATGGGTTACACCGAGGTAAGAAAGCAGGTGATAAGATTTGGGGGTCTTTTTTTCAAGCTATGTGTTGAAGGCCCTAGGAAACTGGGAGAAAAGGGTTGCATTATTGCAAAATTGCCAGCCTAATTAATATGAACTAGCTTTTTGATCCTTGCTCTCAGGAATAGGGAGATTAGACTCACCAAAGCACTTGAATTCTCAAATGCCAAGGTACCTAGAGTTGTGGGCATAGAACATGAGACTTGGAAAGGATCTTGGAAATTATCTAATCCAGTTCCTCCCCACTTTCCACCACTACTTAACAGACAATGACACTAGGCTCAGAGTTATTATTTGTTGACCTGCGTTCACATGGGTAGGCGTGTAGAATGGGAAGAGCACAACATCTGGAATCTTAGAAGGACCAGATTTGAGTCCCAGCTTTGCTACTCAGTAGCTCTGGACCTTGGGGAATTTACCCAATCTCTCAGAACCTTAGTTTCTCGTCAGTAAAGTAAGGCTAATAAATTCTTTTTTACAAGACTGGTATGAAACGTGCTTTGTAAACTGTTAAACACTATACAAATGGTATTTTTGCTAATTTATTTATTAATGATAGTAATAATATAGTGGCAAAATACATGGATTGGTAGTGTACTAGGAAATGTTTAACAATCAGCTCTTGGGAAGGGAGTGGAGTAGAGCAGGAATGTATGTGTGTTTGTGTGTGTGTGTGTGTGTGTGTACCTACATACTTAAATGTATTATAAATTTTACTTTAAGATAATTTTTTTTAGTTGTAAAGAACATGTAGCACACAGTTTACAAATAGTAATGAAATATACAATACTCTTAATTGAATGCTTTTGTTGATTTTTGCTAAATTTGTATCCATAGCCAACCTATGATTGCAACTCAACCATGATTTGATAAATGGAGTTGCACCCCAATTTGCCCTTTTCCCAATAATTTTGTCATTAAATCTGATGTGTGATCTACTATTAAACTATTTCTCACCTTCATACAAATTATATTCATTAAACTGGAACCTCTTTCAGCTTTAGTACTAAATGAAATTCTGAATTGTAATGTTTGCCAGTTTCCAAGGTGTAAACAGTCTCACCATGGCTGATTTCAAGCTACCAGTGTGGCATCACTGAACACAAAGCTGGGAAGAGATGCACACAGTAGCACACCATTATGTAGTATTTCCACCATACAGAGACAATAAATATAAAAAACTTAAAGAGCACAAATAATAGTAAAATGTAGTTAAATAACTAGGAAGTTATGAGATTTCATGTTTTTAGCCTTCGTTTTTAACATAACTTATTTGTTATTTAATTTTTAATAAACATCTTTAACAACCGACTTTCAAAATTCCTTAAAACTTATCACTCCGCTTTCATGGGCTGGTACAAGTCAGCTCATCACTGCATTGGATGCCTCAGTGATAGGACTGCACTGTCAACCTACCTGATATGTCACCAAGGAAATAGTTAGTAAAATCAGAATTTTTATTATCTGTGGGAGGCTTTTTAGCTCTCTCTACAGTCAAATTCCTGGAAACAGAGCTGTTACTTTCCTTTGTTGTTAGCAGCTATTCTCCCTTTACTATCCCCAAAACAGTCCTTGTACTTCTGAGAGGAAAAAAGAAGATAATTGCTCTACTCTGAAGAAATACAGGCCCTCAGTTTTCTCCATATTTATTTTTTGGTTTCTGTTTATTGATTTTGTTTTCTCTTTATTTATTGGTAATTTTATCAGGAGGATGAGGGATTGTTTCTTGAACTTAAATATGAGAAATATGTAATTTTTAAAAAATCACATGCTATATAAGTGAATTGTGTTCAAGAGAAACATGTAAACTGTACCTAATAGAACAGATGCTCATCATGGCAACTTTGGGTTTCTTTGCTAGGACAGTCAGTTCTGATTCCTTTTGTGTGCAAGAGATTTCATGACAGTGATCATCTAAGTATCTTCCAGACCTCATAGGCTGGTGTCAGTAGCATAGTTTTCTACCTGAAGTTTGAGCTGACACAATTTCTTGTTTCAGATTGTCTCCTATCTACTTGATCTTCCAGAAAAAGATGAGGAGGAAGTGGAGAGAGCACAGATCAACAGCTTTGACAGTCTTTGGGGAGAGACAGGTACTTCTCACAGACATTACTCTCTTCTCTCGTGAATGTGTGGAGACACTCTCTGCATCTCCCACCCTGACTTTTTCTCCGGCGTACCTTTGGCAGTCTCTGCCTTATGGCTTTTGTATTAAAGTCTGATTCAGCCAAAATAAAAAGTCAAGCAATTTCCTTCTTTCAATCCTCTTGCCCTTTGGATTCTCCAAACCATTAGTACTGGAGTCTCCTTTCAAACAAAACTTTCCCCTGCTCTTGTTTCCAAATATTTTTAAAAGACTGAAAGTTTCCTTACAATGTGCCAAACCAGAGCAGAAAATAGTTGTGGACTTTCTCTTTATGTGATCCTTGTAGCTGTTAGGAATAAATATTTCTCCCATCAAAAGAACTCTTTCCACCTGTAGTTGTGAAGCAGGAGGTTAAATTTTTAGCCACACCTCTGGCTTAACCAAGTGTTATTATGGCAGAGTGGTATCTGACGTGGTTAAACTGATTCATTATGAGGAAAGTTGCCATCTGAAATGCAAAATGAAGGTACCACCCTGTAAGGCACAGCCCTGTGCAAGCCCTCTTGGTGTGTAGCAAAATGATTTCTATATTCCTTGGGACTTACTATACAAACAGAGGCTCTTCTTGTGGCCTTTGCAGGAAATTATTATTGTCTTTCCCCTATGTCTAAACTGGAACATCTGGAGAAACATTAGTAACCTTTTATGTATTTTTATGAAACCAGGGCAATGAAAACTATAGAGTCACCACAGATATGTGTCATATTTGCCAGGAGAATTAGACCAAGATTGAGTTGGCCAATTTAGGGAGACTGTTTTACTAAGTTAAAAGGGTATATGTTTTGGTTAGGGTCAAAGGGTTATTAAAAATAAGAGAAGACACTTGAATTCATTTAAAATTTATAATTACCTGTTCAATTGTGATATTTCTACCCATGGCAAAAATCTTAGATAGTTTTCATAGCTTCTTTAACATCACGAAGAATGGTCCCAAGCTCAGGAATTTACTTCTCAAACAATCCCTCCCTCTGTAAGAGCCAAAGGGAGCAGATGCCAGGCAGCTGCAGCTTAAGAGTCCATGAGAGATTAAAAGAAAATGTGCAGCTGGAGACAGCTGCTGTCTCTGGGACCCCACCCTGAGGGAAACCAGAGGACAGACTGAGGGAAAGGGACTGACCAGGACATTACAAGTTCTGGAGTATGCATACTGTGAACTGGAGCTACAGAAGGGACATGTTGCTTCACTGCTCCTATCAGCACAGCCTTCCCCAGCACAGTGTTGCTCTACCTCCCAACAGACTCCTGTCCGCCAGGTCGTGCACATGTAACCACTGGAGAGGGCAAAGAAAAGTAGTGGCCCAGTGGTGATAACGGATAGGAATTACAGGACTAATAGTCATAGTCATGAATATCAAACACATCTAGTGCTGTACTTGAAAGAATTCCTTAAAAATGTTCAAGAAGGTTGTGGACTAAGTGGAAGACTTATTTTTATTGATATGAATTTCTTATTAGAATAAAACTTTATGGCCTCAGGACTTTTAAAATATTTCATGCTTTAAAGTGTGCAATAAAGTTTGTTACGTTAATTCTCTTACATATGTATCATATCTCAAGATTGTAAAAAATCAAAGTTTCATGTCAGTTTGTTTGCAATCAGAATTGTGTTGTGTTTAACTTGATATTTATATGAAATAATTTCAGCATTATAAACTTGAAATGCTATTTAATTATGAGTTAGAATAAAATTCATTCATAGTATAATTTATAGATCTATAAAAAGTTATTTGACTGGGGCTGGCCCCGTGGCCGAGTGGTTAAGTTCGCGCGCTCCGCTGCAGGCGTCCCAGTGTTTCGTTGGTTCGAATCCTGGGCGCGGACATGGCACTGCTCGTCAGACCACGCTGAGGCAGCGTCCCACAAACCACAACTAGAAGAACCCACAACGAGAAATATACAACTATGTACTGGGGGGCTTTGGGGAGAAAAAGGAAAAAATAAAATCTAAAAAAAAAAAAAAAAGTTATTTGACTTCAGAAAAACTGGAAAATAATGTCTTTGCTATGTAAAAATGTCCCTACAACTCACCACTAGTATAAAATAGACTATGGGTTGCTTTTCTATTTATAATGGTGGATTTACTAAGTATACATGTTTCTTTCTAACTTATAGCACATAATCATTTAAAATTTATAATGACTCATTGAACTGTCATGTTTCCTCCAATGACAAAATCTTATATATGTTTCCCTTATATAGTGAATGAAGGTCTATGACTTGCAGGTGGTTAGGGTCTCATAGCTACAACCCTGGCCTAAATTTTTACCTATGGAAAATATGATGGTCATGATGTTTTCAATAATCTGCATCACTTACTATATCAAATCTACGATACCACTAACTATAAGAAACTATATAACCATTATTTTATGTGCCACTACAAAAAAATCCTCTGCCTATTAAACTGACACAATTCTTTATTATCACATCAATTGTAAGATGCATCCTGATTTCAGAGGTGTTAAAATGTGAAGGAAAAAAGTGTGTCTTAGAATCAATGAAATATCTCTTAGCATATAGTGAAATATGAATTGAGATGTAATTTTTCTCTATCTGATTTTCTAAAAGCAGATCACTAGAATGTCCTAGTTGCCTTTGTCCTCCTTTTGCAGCCTCTTTATCCTTCCAGATAACATCTTCCTACATCCAGCTTTCACCATCTGACTGACCCCTCCTGTCCCACAGGGTTTTCACAGACTTCTTATAGAACAACTCAGAAGAAAAGCAATTAAGGTGACAAGATTGTTCACCACTCCCTCCTCTCCTTTGTCTTATGGGCACAGACCAGGACCAGCATTAAAAGCTTCTATCAGCTCTTACCTGAGCCATTCCATGACCCCAAAGAAGCGAGAGCTCACAAAATAAGCAAGATACCCTTAATTCATGCCCTCATCATCTTTTACCTAGATTATTGCAACTACCTCCCAGCTGATCTTGTCTCTAACCTCACTCTTTTGTGATTCATCTCCCAGACTTCAGCCAAAGTGATTTTTCTGAACCACAATCTGTTCATGTTGCTTTCCTGCTTCATTGACCACCTGTAGCATGAAGTTATTTAATGTATCATAAAAAGACCAGTCCTGATCTCCAGCCTCATCTGTTGCCTGTCGTCTCCAGTAACTCTATAGCAATAAACATGCTGTTTCCCACCTCACTGCCTTTATACATGCTCTTCCTAACTAGCATGCCTCCCCCATGTCCTTACATGCCTGTAAGTCTCCTATTTTTCCTTCCGCACCTAGCTCAGATTGTCATCTCTTCCTGGAGACCTTCTCAGGCACTTATTCCTGTGTGAAACCCCATACAACTTCCATGGACTTATCGCTGTTATGCTCATCACACTGTATAGTATTATATTTCTTTATTTGTCTGTTATCCTTACTCAACCGTGAGTTCTTGAGAGCAAAGACAGTGTCTGACAAATAGCTCAATAAATGTTTACCTAATTAATGTTGTTTTGGATAACAGTGCTCAGTTTATGTCTCCCCAACCACCTCCCTCCCATTGGTCTTATGTGACCTGTCTGTACTGTACTCTTTCAAGGTTGAAAATAGATAAGCAAAAGGACCATTTGCTTCGCTGCGTTCTCTTTAGTGTCTGCATTCCATCCAAGCAGACTTTGGCTATTTCCCTAACTCTGAGCTGCATCCTGTCTGCCTCTTCAAACTCTTTAGATGTTTCCCTTTGAAAAAGGACCGTTGATGTCAGATAATCTCATCAGATGCGGACAAGCTAGGGAACAAATTCTGTCACTGGTCTCTCAGGAAGAGATTGGGCTCCAAACTGCTGTGTTTGCTCTAAAAATCAGTTTGTTGTTTTACAGAACTGGCTTTACCTTAATCTTATTTCTTTCAAAAGGTTTTAACAGTTTTTGATAAGACATACAAGATCCAGCCAAAGCAACTCCTTGCTCTTGGATTTTGGAAAGTACAGATCCCATTTTACATAGTTCTGTAGTTCTAAGATGAAATTGGCCAGCTGTGTTAATGACCATGTCCAGCTATCAGCTGGAGCTTCCTGCCAAATTACGTCATAACCTAAGCAACAGAGATGATAGAAACAAAGAAAAAGGCCAAATGGAACATTCTCTCTCATATAAATGTGTTATCCAGTGGGTTGGAATGGGCCAGCCAGAGCAATACAATTCCAGGTTAGAGTAGACAGTATAAGTTTAACTTTCAAGATCAGCACTGGTTGAGAATTTTCAGCTGTGTGCAATGAACTGGAATCATGGGTTAGAGGCTTGATTCTGAAATACTGTGTGTGTTTTCCAGGGCGCTATAAATTCTTTTGTGAAAAAGAATGTATTTACGCCCCCCTCCCCCTCATACATAGAACATTATCACCTTATCACCTAACAGCTACTTTAAATGGGATCGGAACATGGAAGTTAGATCCAAATCATTTGTTTTATGTATCAACAAGATGATTCTTATGGTTCCTACTGAGCGTCTAACCCAGTCAAATTCTTTTTTTTCCCCAGCTTTACTGAGATATAATTGACATATAACATTGTGTAAGTTCAAGGTGTACAGTGTGATGATTTCCAGCCAAGTTCTTAAGCTACTCTTGTGTTCTGACCCAAGAACTAAAGGGGTTTTTTTTTTTTCTGAAATTTTAGAAATATGAACTTGAAAAAGAGGAAAGATAACTTTGATTGAAAGAACAAGAGACAAAGCTTCTTTGTCAAGTAAATAATCATACCCGTCAATACCTGTACTCATCCATTCAGGGCTTGGAAATGACCCTCATCTCAGATAGGACCAAGCCTCTGCACTTCTGTAAGGAATAGGACAGAAATGCCATTGTTAAGAGTTCAGGGGCTGGCCTGGTGGTATAGTGGTTAGATTTGCGTGCTGTGCTTCAGTGGCCCAGGGTTTGCAGGTTCAGATCCCCCACACGGACCTAGCACCACTCGTCAAGCCACACTGTGGCAGCATCCTGCATAAAATGGAGGGAGATTGGCAACAGATGTTAGCTCAGAGCTAATCTTCTTCACACACACACAAACACACAAAAGGTCAAAAATATAACTGAAAATACACATAAGACAAGGAGTAGATACGTCTAGTTTAAGAGTGAATATATCTTCTAAAATTGTCACATTCTCCTTCATAAGCCCTTCTTATCCTTGAGGAAGGAAAAGATTAGTTGAAAGTTTATCTTAGTGGAAATTACAGGTAGTTTTGGTTTTGCATATGAGTCAGTTGTGGATAAATTTGACTAAGCCTGCAGACAAAATGTCATAATTTGCACCTACATGAAAAAAATTACAAGTGACCATTTGATTGGAATTTCAATTGCTTCCCTGACTAGATACCAACATTTGCAAACTGAAATATCTGCATCTACCAAATATCCTTTTCTGATGTGCCATTGGAGTAGGTGGCCATAATAAAGGAAGGACTTGCTAACTGCCACATCAAGTTTCCAAGTCTGTTCGGAAAAAAAGTTTATCCTCTTTCTTTGAAAACATACTCCTGCCATCTTCTAACAGTGTTTACCATCCTCCCTACCTTCATCCATTTTTAAAACACACCTTATGCGTTTGAGATCCCCTGGTTAAATGAGACAAATACATATTTGTTCACATACAGACTTAGTAGAAAGTATATCTCTAAATTCTTCTTACTACTATTGAAATGATACTCAGAGGATGAAATTGGCACTCACAGACTCTCCACTGCAGCAAAGCTCATAAACAGTGGACAGTAGAGCAAAAAGAAGAATGTTTTAACTATAGCTGTTTTTTATCTATGACTCCATTATTTTATATTCAGAAGAAAAGAACCTTTGTCACACCTCTTCTCCCATCTTTAACCTTGAACAATTCTGACTGTAGTATAAAAATAGTTGCAAATGTACTAGAAACTTCTGTCTAGAAACTAATGAAGAAAAGGAATGAAAACTGGCCCCAAGGCCCTTAGACTGTGATTCCTGATTCTTGGAATTTAAGGTCTTGGGAGTGGAGGTTGGCCAGAGGTGTTTCCTAGTTCATTCTAAAAAGAGCTTACCCTGCAAAGGCCTTTCTTTCTGCATTCCACCCATGCAGAGACCAGTAAAAGGTTGGTAGCTAGGAAGAGGTACCAAAAAAGAGGTTGGTGAAAAGCAGACAAGACAGTCTGGGTAGGAAAAATGAAACCAAGTGAGTTCAATCAAAGGTGATTTTTCAATAAATTTGTTATTATAATTGTCTCTATATATTGTAAGCTCATTTAAATGTGACTTTATTCATTATTTTTCTTTAAAAATTTCCTTCATGGCAAAAGTAGATAAAATCATTATTCTTGGAGATAAAGTAGCAGTTATATTAATCAAACACAGACATAGTGCTGTGCTTAACATGAGGGCTGGAGAGGGCAAGAACCACCTGTCCTCAGTCTGTGTTCTCTGCCCTTAGCCCTGACAGCTGCAGCCGGAAGGGGCAAACTGGAGGTGTGTCGTCTGCTCTTGGAACAAGGGGCAGCAGTGGCCCAGCCAAACCGCCGAGGGGCAGTGCCCCTATTCAGCACTGTTCGCCAGGGCCACTGGCAGGTAAGCAGGGTACCTATTTCCAGTCCCTCAGGCAGGGGTGAGTTCTAAGTGGGAACTTCTGAAGCAGAGAGCAAAAAAAATTCACAAAGTTTGGGTTACCCAGCAGTCATCAGGTGTGAGGACTTGGCCTTTGTTATTAATATTTTGGTTAATTGAGAATATGTCAGAAAGTTAACATTCAAAATCATCATCATCATCTATATTTTATAGAAAGATTAGCTACTTTTGGCCTGATCATGAAATAACCTCTTTATCACATTTCATAGTATCCGCAGGTTCTCAACAGATCTAACCACTTACTTGCAGGTCTCTCAGACTTGGTAACAGAAAATGTGGTGTATGTAAATTCAAGTTATGTGATCTTTCCAGATATTTGGATTCTGAATAAATGCTAATTTATACACTTATGGTGGAATGGAAAGCATATCAGTAATAATCTTTGGAAGTATTTGAGTAGAAGAAAGGCTCTAGAAGCCAAACCGTGCTGAAGAGTTATGAGAGCACTTGATTATATTCAGTTCTATCGTAAATATTCACTGCAGGCACATTTGCAACTCCTAGAGATTAATAAAATGACACTGACATAGGTATTGACTTCTGTTGGGGCTTTCATTATGGGATTGTTTAGTCTACATCTTGGCCTTTGTTATCTTAAATTCTTTTTTACTTAGTGGCTACGTAAAACATTCAGAGTTGAATTCTTCTCATTTGGCTGTCCCTAAGAGAATCAAGAGATCAAATCACATGGTACTAGGACTGAGCAGGCACTAGAAGGGGTTCTTGCAGTGGAAAGTCACATGTAGAGGGGACTCACCTGTACAGCAGTGGGCATTCACACAGTGTAGGGACAGCATGCATGTGTCTACTTAGCAGCTCTTCCTGGCTAATTGATACCTGTTTCTCTGCACTTACAGATTGTTGATCTTTTACTCACCCATGGAGCTGATGTCAACATGGCGGACAAGCAGGGCCGTACTCCCCTGATGATGGCTGCTTCCGAAGGCCATCTAGGAACTGTGGACTTTCTGCTTGCACAAGGTCAGTCCTGGGATGCCAGAACTGAATGGTCAGTGCCCATAATAACCCAAGAAACTCATGATTTCCAGTGATGGATTCCAAGAGGTGTTAAGGATAGATATTATTAATCTAGTTGGTTAGGAAATGAAAGTCCATCTCCTCTCCTCTCATATACAGGGGACCCTTCTAACTCTGACATTCTCTATTTCTTTATGGCTTAAGGGGTTTTTGGTATCCTTATCAAGTTAACGTATTCTGAACTCTTTAATTCAAATAGGTAATCTCCAAACTGATTTTTTAATGTACACTCAATAAATGTTCATCTTCCAGGGATTTTATTTTGACTTTAACTTCATCAATTCTTTTGTAAGCCTGCACAACTAATATTTTTCTTGTATCCTAAGGAGGCAAACGAAGGTTAAGAAAGTTGTTAACAATGGGACCCTATTTGAGGAATCAGGATATTATTATCCTCCTGTTGTAATAAATCCCTTTTGACATTTACCAACATTCAATATTCCCTCTAAATGGGAAATAAATTAAAGGAGATCGTTGTCATACCGCCATCAAAAGCATTTCAGGCTCCTTTTGATTACTGTGACCTCAATCATCTATGCAAAACAGTGGTAAGTGATGGTGGGCCTCTACAATAGAAAAGCTCAAATCACTGGTGGCTCTGCAGTACCATCTAGTGGAGCTTGAGCGTTTACATGAAGCAGGAGATAGTGTGGCCAGCCTTGATCACTCCATTCCAAATAGCCATCCCTGTTAGTAAACTGGACCTAAACATCTATGCACGCATACCTCAGATATATTGCAGGTTCAGTGCCAGACCACTGCAATAAAGGGAAATAAAAGGAGTCACACAAATTTTTTGGTTTCCCAGTGCATACGAAAGTTCTATTCAGGGGGCTGGCCCAGTGGCATAGGGGTTAAGTTCACACGCTCCACTTCAGCAGCCTGGGGTTCACTGGTTTAGATCCCAGGCGCAGACCTATGCATCACTTATCAAGCCACACATGGCAGGCATCCCACATATAAAATAGAGGAAGATGGGTGCAGATGTTAGCTCAGGGATAATCTTCCTCAGCAAAAAGAGGAGGATTGGTGGCAGATGTTAGCTCAGGGCTAATCTTTCTAAAAGAAAAAAAAAAAGCTCTGTTTACACTATACTGTAGTCTGTTGTGTGCAATAGCATTAAGTCTAAAAATATATATACATACTTTAATTTTAAAATATTTTATTGAGGGGCTGGCCCCGTGGCCAAGTGGTTAAGTTTGCGCGCTCTGCTGCAGGCGGCCCAGTGTTTTGTTGGTTCGAATCCTGGGCGCGGACATGGCACTGCTCATCAAGCCACGCTGAGGCAGCGTCCCACATGCCACAATTAGAAGGACCCACAATGAAGAATATACAACTATGTGCTGGGGGGCTTTGGGGAGAAAAAGGAAAAAATAAAATCTTTTAAAAAAAATATTTTGTTGATGGGGCAAGCCCAGCGGTGTAGTGGTTAAATTCTCACACTCTGCTTCGTCAACCTGGGCTTCACCAGTTCGAATCCCTGGTGCAGACCTACACACTGCTTATCAAGCCATGCTGTGGTAGGCATCCCACATATAAAATAGAGGACGATGGGCACAGATGTTAGCGCAGGGCTAATCTTCCTCAGCAAAAAGAGGAGGATTGACAGTGGATGTTAGCTCAGGGCTAATCTTCCTCAAAAGAAATATATATATATTTTATTGCTTAAAAAATGCTAACCGTCATCTGAGCCTTCAGCAAGTCATAATCTTTTTGCTGGTGAAGGATCTTGTAAAACAACTTAGTACCTGTGAAGCACAATAAAGCAAAGCAAAATAAGGTGTGTCTGTAATTATATCCACAAGCACATACACTTCAAGGAAACCAGCCTCCTGAAGAATCATGCCCAGGCCAGAGTAGCTAAGGGTAATTGAGTTAGGAAGAAGATGAGGTTTCTTCTGAGATTTCAAACTGCAGGCTAGAGACTGACTGGATCTTTAGCCATATCCTCCAAAGAAGATTTGTTTCCACAACTCATAAGATTTGTATCAGACTCAGAAGGGTGGGTCGGAATCAGAGACCTGCTCTCCTGGTGTGCAGAGTGGTTCTTGCTTCCCCAATACGAGCCACCAAACGAGTCTAGTTTCATGATATCTATTCTCACGTCTGCTAGAAGGGGGTTGGGGGAGAAAAGAGGTTGTGCCTAGATTCTTGAGATAAGATATGGCAGGGGTTAAATGTCCCAGAACAACCGGAGTCCCTGGAAAAGGCAGGACCTCTTCAGCCACTGATAACCTTTAGATAGCTGCAGAGTGTCTGCCACATGCCAGTAGAAGCTCATCAGGCACAGAGGCCAGAAGTTTGTTCTCCCTTACCACTGCAGACATTCTGGTCTTTGTATTATTTCATTTTTTTCACAATTAAATCGCTAAGTCAACAAATTCTACAGGCATTTACTTAGCCTACATTATTTTCAGAACTCTATGCTAGGAACTGGGAGTAATTTCTTTTTTAAATGAAACACTATAATCTGTGCCCTTAAAGGGTCTATAATCTGACAGGGAAGGGATGAAACAAAGGTAAATAACTACCTTAAAAAGCAGAGAATCCTAAGTGCTCTGATAAAGGTTTTTGAGTTAGAATAGGGCATACTTTGAAATTTGAATAAGAGAAATGTTCTATATTTAGGGAGGGAAAATAATGTAAATGAAAGGTCAAGGAGGAGGAACAGTACACAACAGGTTTGGAGAAATATGTGAGTTGTCTAGTGAAGTATACGTGAGGACTGTTGGGAAATAAAGTTGGAAATGTATGTAGAAAAAAGTTGAAATGGAACAGATTAAAAGAGTTTAAATTCTGAAGGTAATGGGAGTCTTTCAACATTTTTAAAAAGAGAATTGATGCCAGAGTTGTGCTTTAGAAGAAAAACTCACTCTGGCGGTAGTGTGAATAGTAGATTTGATGAAGGAATTATAGAGGACCAGGAGGATCAATTAGAAGCCATTGCAGGAGAATAAATGAGAAGTAATAGGCCCCAATCCAGGTGCAGTAGCTGTAAACTCCACTCTCCTTTGTGGCCTGGGCTCAGTCTCTTCCCATGAGTCCTTTTCCCTCACATTCTAGGGAGGGAGAAAGTGGCCTGGTACTATAATCAATGATAAACATGTGCTGAGCTCCTATTTTATAAGAATCTCTCAAGGAATTTATACTATTATAAATGAAAGACTTTCGCTGAGTTCAGAAAACATTCATTGAGAGTTTATTACATGCAAGTAAGATTCATACAAAAGATTAATAACAGAATAAGGTGACACATGTTAAGCAGATTGAAGATGAACTAGTAGTGAACCAGGAGAAGCTTCGTGGAGACCAGGGGAATTTGAGATAGTTTTAGAGAATGGGTAGAAATGAGGCAAGTCGTGGGGAAAGAAAAGGTATTCCACACATGGAAACAACACAACCAAAAATGGGGATACGGGAATATTTAGGGGAGATTCTGGAGGCAATGAGCACATCCATTTGGCCAAAGTAGAGGATTCTCATAGTGGAGTAATGAAACTTAAAGATAGAGAGTAAGCTTGGGGATAGATTGTGCATGACCTGGAATACCCAGTAAAACAACTGGACTCTCTTCTAGTGATAGCTTGTAGGATCCATTTTTTTAGCAGTTTTTTTGAAACATAACTCACATACCAGAGACAAAAGCTGTGCTTCAGCAGAGTGTCCACCTTAAGTACCAGCCTTCCTTCCTGTTGTGAATTTTCATGGGGTTTTTTTTAATGCTTAATACAATTCTGATGCGCTTTTTTTTCCCAAAGATTTTTTAGCCTCTTTAAAGATGTGCTTTTTTGGTGAGGAAGATTGACCCTGAGCTAACATCTGTTGCCAATCTTCCTCTTTTTTTTTTCTCCCCAAAGCCCTAGTACATAGTTGTATATCCTAGTTGTAAGTCATTCTAGTTCCTCTATGTGGAATGCCGCCACAGCATAGCTTGATGAGCAGTGTGTAGGTCTGCGCCCAGGATCCAAACTGATGAACCCTGGGCCGCCAAAGAAGAGTGCACAAACTTAACCACTTGGCCAGGGGCCAGCCCCAATTTTCCTGGTTTTCATGTTTCCTCAGCCCTGTGTTATACTTGCTCTTCTAGGTGCCTCCATTGCTCTAATGGACAAAGAAGGATTGACAGCCCTCAGCTGGGCTTGTTTGAAGGGTCATCTTTCAGTAGTTCGTTCTCTAGTGGATAACGGAGCTGCCACAGACCATGCCGACAAGAATGGCCGCACCCCACTGGATCTGGCAGCTTTCTATGGTGATGCTGAGGTGGTGAGTGCCTTTAAACCAACCCTCATGGTAGGGATAGGGAAGGTTCTCCATCCGTAATGTTCTCTGGGATTGAGGGTTGAATAACATGTTGATTATTCATGATATAAAGTTCTCGGATCTATACTTGCTAAAGGCAGGAATATTCAAAACACTATTGAAGACCAAAAATATAGACATGGCCTGAAATACCATGGCTACGCAGCCTGGTTCAGACCAGCAGTTGAATAAAGGTCAGGCAGCAGCCAGAGCCCTCAGTGGAGAAGTGCTGGGCCATTGTACTTGTGTTAACTGCTCTGCTTGATGTATGTCCTAGGTCCAGTTCCTGGTGGATCATGGGGCCATGATTGAGCATGTTGACTACAGTGGAATGCGCCCTTTGGATAGGGCAGTGGGGTGCCGGAACACTTCTGTTGTTGTCACTCTTCTGAAGAAAGGAGCCAAGATAGGTAGGAGAAAGGAAAAAGGTGCTGGCCATCTGTGCCCAGGGGCCAGACTGGTCCAATGGTCTGACTGCCTGGGGTGTTTGGTGTGTGTGTATATAGTTTCCCCTCTGCCCTGGCCCAGTTATTGTCCAAGTAAACAGAAAGGCTCTTGGCCCAGAGAAAGTACCATCTGAGCCACGGTCTACAATACCTTGTGTCCAAAATCACATAGTTAGCTGCCATGCCCCTAGTAGCCTTAGCCAGGAGGCTGCTGTGACCTTAAGTACATCTTAGTGCTAATGCCTCTGTACCAGGCCCACCCTATGAGCATCCTGGATCCCTGCACTGCCGTGAGCCTTTGCTTTCCCTTGCTCTGTATGTGCTTCAGACTCTCAAGCCCCTGCTGCTGCTGTCCCATCTGCTCCCCCATCCCACAGACCGGTAGACAAGGGTTGGCTGATATGCTGGCTTTTTGCTGCCTGCCTCTCACTGCTGCTTTTTCCTTCTTTTTTTTTTTTTTTTTTCACCTTCATCCATTTTTTTTTTCCTCTCCTACAACTTTTTGTTTTCTCCTTTCTTTGAAGGTTGTCAGACGTTACCGAGTCGCCCACGAGGTATATTTCACCGCTGTCAGCATCAGGCGTGGTCTGATAGCTTGGTCAGCTTTGCCTTCTCCTCTTTGATTTAGCCTGCATGAGTTCCCTACACCTCTAATCTTTTAATTTACTTCACCTTAAAAGAAGATTTTTTTTAACGACTGTTGTAGAGAATAACTTGAACTTTTGATAACTAACCCTGAAAAGCTTAGTTGGTAAATAATTCAGGCATCTGTAAACTAATCAATTTAACCTTTCTTTCTCTTTGTGGGTAAAGTAGTCCTCAATAATGTTGGCTTGTTTCACGTCTGTTTGTCATTGGAACTGTGCTCCTGGTTCAAAGCAAATCCCAGGGAGTCCTATTCGATACTTAGAAATTAAAGGAGCCTTTGGAGTCTTTAATGATTTCCCTTCTGCAAAGTACATATTTAAAAATTAAGAGACTAAACAGCTGTGCATTTTCAGTCCCAAATTCTAAAATAAATTACCCTTTTTATATTTTTTTAAATCGTATGGTGACATTTAATGTAAACCATTTCTCCCAATTTCCTTATTTAAAATAACTCCAAACTAAGCCATTGCCTGCCAAAATACAACATGCAGACTTTGCTGCCCTTCTGTGTGCAAGCTCAGACAGTTCAGATATTCTTATTTTAAGGTGAATACAAATCCAGTGCAGCTTCTTGGCAGTGGGAGTCCTTAAGATACTCCCAGGTCTAAAAGATGAGGAAATTGTTGTGGAGCAAGTTGTTCTCTCAGCAGAAATTCCCCCAGGATGTTTTTTTCACCTAGCTTCCTACCACCCTTACATTGTATGAGTTTTTTACCCATCATGCATCCTGTACACTACAGGTCCAGCCACATGGGCGATGGCCACCTCCAAACCAGACATCATGATCATCCTCTTGAGCAAGCTGATGGAAGAGGGGGACATGTTTTATAAGGTGAGAGGAGAGGAGAACAAAGTTTCCTAAAAATAGCCACTGACTGTTTTCTACATGTAGAGTCTACCAAGTCTTGACGTTCTCATCCTTGGTTCTAGAGGCCCTTTAAAAAGAGAGAATGCCATCCCTCAATGATGGATGCATAAATTAATCCTGGGTTTTTGCCTTCTCAACAAGGGAGAAAGAGTAGCCTACTCATGTGTACAGCTGATCAACCTAAAGACCTAGTTTTACCTGATCATTAATAGGCAGTTACATAGATTCTACTTGGAATCTGCTAGGTGAGAAATTCATGGGACAAGTAAAAGTAAAATTATGTGGTACAGATAGGGATTCCAGTAGATGCAAAAGAGGCCTTGATCTTAGCTTTCTTATTTAATATATACACAAATCAAAAAGTCTGTAGTAATAATAGTTTATCAGCGTCTCTGAGTAAGATAAGGAAACCGAGACAAATAACAATTATAAGATTTGCTTGAAGTCATTCAGTGAATGACAGCAACCTGAAAAAGTATGGAGTTTTTTTTGTACTCACAGTTCAAGCTGGAGGCTCCATACCCTAACACAAACTCCCATGACCTATGGGAAGTCCCTTAAGAACATTCCATGTCAGTTACCCTCTAAGATTAGCTGAATCTTCTTCTCCTAAAACTAAATACAAATCCAACACAGCTTTTGGCAGTGGGTGTCACTGAGACATCCCCAGGCCCAAAGATGAGGAAATGTTTGTGAATCACATTATTCCCCCCTTCTGTAAGGAGTATACAGAGTTCCTAGGAGCAGAGTTGTATTTCCTGAGAACTCTGAGCGAGAGTTGTGATAATCTAGGACTCTTAGGCTTCTAGGAAGCTTGAGTGCTGACCTAACCACGATTTCACATGAGTTCAAAGAAGGGCCTCGTGACTCTAGCTGTCATATATATGAACTTGAGAATAGCATTGCTCTCAAGAATCTAAGCCCTGATTATAACATAATTTCTGATATTCCAAGACAGGGAGTCCTACCTCCTAATGAGAATAAGCAGAGCTACTCCTCTTCCCACCCAGAATTCTACCTTGGAAGACTCCAAATCTCTCCTTAATGAAAGATGCTAAAGAGAAAATAAAGATGGGGCTCCTTAGTGGAGTTGCCGCTCTACAGAAGGTATGGAGAGGATACAGATCAGCTAAAGGAATGAGAGATACTACCTTCTGCATCATTCTGAGCTCAGCTTATAGATTTTCAGATAGAAAGTGTAAGAAAAGTTCAAGGTCCCTGTGACCAGGTCCCTAGATTGGTCATAGATTTACTTCATCTTGGGAAATCCCTCCTACATAGTCAGATGGAATCACAAATTCTAAACTTCACTCCTCTGCTACCACCCTACCCCAGGCCTTTTCCAAAAACAGGAAGAAAACTGATTGATTTTACTTTATGCCATGAGATTAGGGAAGCAACAGCTAGATTGTTTTAGCACTCACATTTTTTTGTGGGAAAGAAAATGGCCTCTTCTAGAAGACTGACAAGGTGGAATGTCAAACAGGAAGAGTTTTCCAGACAAGCCAAAATTAAGGCCATAGCAATAACTTTGGAGTGTTTGGGGCTAGGAAATACTACGTGTGCCAGGGAAATCAGGTCTGGAAAAAGCTCCTTTGAAATCAACAAGGTCAGTCCTTCGGAAATCCAGTTGGGACACTGGCGTCCTGGGCCTTTCACATGCCAAGGCTTTGTTTCTCTGGGTTGTATCTTGGGTATCCCCTGCAACATTGCCTTCCTGCCCGGTGAGGTTCCTGTGGAAAAGACTGGACCCTTCTGCTCTCACCGTCAGAGCCAGACCTACTCCTTAGGCTGGTGTTTGGGAGAGCTAGCCCTTAGTAGTAACTGAGAGGAGGAAGGGAGTGGGAACAGACTTCCTCAGCTGCTCAGCAGACCAACTGTGTGTTTTGCCATCTTGTACTCCCATCAGAAAGGTAAAGTAAAGGAAGCGGCCCAGCGCTACCAGTATGCTCTGAAGAAATTCCCTAGAGAAGGGTTTGGTGAGGACTTGAAAACCTTCCGGGAGCTAAAGGTGTCTCTTCTCCTCAACCTCTCACGGTGCCGCAGGAAAATGAACGTAAGTCCCTCTCATCCCAACTCCTTTCTGCAATCCTAGAAGTTGACAGTTCATGTCACTCACTAGCTTTCACCAGGCCCCTGAAATCCTCCTCTGCCCCATTTGGAACTTGGTTGTCCTTCACAGAGCACTGACATTTGCAATTTGAAAGAAATCAAGTCTAAGTACAATCCTTGTCTCAAACTGTAAAAAAAGTTAATGCTGTGGGTACTTTGTAGCTTTCTGAATTTTCATGATTCCCACTGAAAGTGATTGGAATGCCATTATCATCCTCCCCTACCCCGAAGTCAGTTTTCTGGTCTTCGGGGAAATGTGAGAGCAGTTGTCATTAGAATTCCAGCTGCAATTAGATATGAATTTTAGTTATTCCCTTCCTTTCTGGTAGACCCCCTAGTCCTTTAAGGAAGGGCTGGAAAGAGGGCTCAGGACCATGGACTTCAAGGTATAATTTCTAAGGCTAATCTTGAACTTTTCACTTCTTTCCTCATCTTTTTGTTAAAGCATGCCATGTCTCTTCTTGTCGCAGAGGGAATCTTAGAATTCTTCCTGGTCCTTTTGTATCTCCCAAGTAGTCCTTGGTCCTTCTTGCCTGCCTTGCAGATTCAGTCTCTGATGCCCTCAGCAACCTTGACATGCAGACACTCCTGGGCCAAGGACTCTTATCTCAGATACTGGGAATAGCTAAGATCATTTCAGGAATCTCTGCCATCCACCGGCCTGAGGTCTCACAGTTCCTCAGGAGATAGATATAATCCAAGCCAAAAAGGAATGAGATCAATAAAGAACTCAGCTGTACAGAAGTGAGATTTCTGCCTCAGTGGCACGAGATCTGCTGTCAATTCCAGAAAGATTATTTGTGTATATGACCTTCATATCATCCATCTAAAACCTGACAATGAAAAGAGCCCTGATATAGACTTAGGTACCTTGGAGGACACAGTTATGGCCCTAAGAGGCAGAGTTACTGGGGGTGTTAAGGAGAGTGAGGGTGTGGTAGAGTTTCCCATGAGAAGGGAATGCCTTAGGGGAAGGCAGTGAGGTGCTTACTTGAAACAGAATAAACAGCACCACAGGCCTCCTTTAACACCAGCTAGTGAGAATAAGACAAAAAGTTCAGGAGCTGCTGTCAACCTGCTGGCTTCTTTTTTGCCTAGCAAATAATCCACTTCTTAAAAATATTCTAAACTTCCCAGAAATAATGATTATCCCAAAAGAAAAAATTAAAGGGTAAGGTTGGAAACCCAGTAGAGATAGAAGATGAGCCTATAGGATAGACTGCTTTCTCTCTAGCTCCACGTTTGTTCAGAAACAGTTCATCACCTCCTTTGAAGTACTAAGCACTTGAAGTCTGTCTTCTTCAGGAGAAAATTGCCCATTAATTTTTTTTTTCATTTATACCTGTGCTCCAGGACCTTTGTTCTGCCTAAGGCCTCTTTTCTGCCTTAGGAATCACAAGTGTAACCAGAGGCTGCTGTGCTGTACTATGACTTCGTGTGGCATTAAAGGAGCAGAAAACCCTTCCTTTTTAGTTTAGTATGTAAGGGTGTCTTAAAAACTATGGCTTTGTTCTCCTGATCCCTGTTCCCAGGGGTTCTCAGAATGGGGACAGATGAGACCGTGTTCCACCAGGGAGCCTCAGTGATCAAGAGATGAGGTGACAGCACAGACCCCAGTCACAGCCAGGGTTCTCTCTTGTTTTATTTATTTATTTATTTTTATTTTAAATGTTTCCTAAGTAAGGAACCAGTTAAGAGAAGGAACAGGCCAGAGAAGCCTCTGTGAAATAGGAAGGAAACTACCATTTATTGAGTATCTACTATGTGCCAGGAACTGTGTATGGGGCTTTCAGATGCTTTATTGCTCTCTTGATCCTACCTGTGAAGTAGGTATGGATGAGAAAACATAGAACACGCCCCTGAGTGATTATGAAGCAGACCCTAGAGTTGAACCCATGTCTGTCTGACGTCCCTACTCCATCTGTCTCCAGAGTCAGTCAGTTCTCCTTTACACAAACCCCATCCTCATGGATTTCATTCATTCCTTAGAAAGCCAAGGAATAATGGGTACAGCAGATGTGTGTGTTTGCCTCATACACATGTGTGTAACAGGAGTTCAGGTTTCCAACTTCAAGAGCTTCATTGCGTTAACATTTGGCTTCTGGGCTAGAAATAACTTTGTTAGACAGGCAGAAAGAGGGAAAATCAAAAGTATTTTAAAACTTCTGGGCAGATAAATTCCCATGAATGGTTGTAGGGCCACACAGGGCAAAGGCAGAAGGAACTTTCTGTCTGGGCCACATGGCTAGAGCCATGCCAGGCATGTCAAGAATCCCAAGGGTTCCATCCATAAATGTCAAAGAAATGTACATATATCTGTTTTATTCCCAAGTTGTCTATTTTTCATATCTCTTCAATGACTCATTTGCACACCTATTGTAATGACAGGATTTTGGAATGGCGGAGGAATTTGCTACTAAGGCCCTGGAGCTGAAACCGAAATCTTATGAAGCTTACTATGCAAGAGCAAGGGCAAAACGCAGCAGCAGGTGAGGAGAGAGAGAGAGAGGGTGAAAAGCAAGAGGTCTCTTTTCTGAAAATCTGGCCAAGGCAATGTAGGCCATCCTGGGGCATTTGTACCCAAATATGTCTATCCCTAAGGACTCTTAGGGCCAAGCTTTGGGGATGGTTTGCGTAGCACAGTACTCAGCTTAAGATCGGCAAATCTGCGGGGCAATGGAGATCTAGACAATTTGACTTTGTGAGAAAACTGCCTTTTCATTGTTGGAGAATGGCACCTTCTTCCAAGAAACTTCTGCCATATCTCAGTCGCTTTTTAACCCCCAAAGTAGGTAACATAAAGAGACACCAGTGGCTTAAGAGGAGGTCACTTAACAAAACATCCTCCCGACCCTTTTAGAGGGAATAGTAGGATGGGTCACTTACATCACGGGCTCCTCTTTTCCTATACGCCTTTGGGGGAATCCCTGGATTATTTAGTCTTCCTTCTAGGGTCTCCTCAAATCTGGTGGCATCAAACCTCCTTCTCACCTAAACTTCCTCCCAACACCATACCACACCCTCATGGAAACAGGAGGTGCTGCTGCCAGGATTGAGCGGGCCCAGGAGAAACTCCATCCCTCCTGCCCATCTGCTGTGGTTTGGCCAATGGACAGGAGACGCTCCAGAAAGACCTAGAACCTGCCACCAGTGATCTTTGGATAACTTGCCACTGTCCTTGATGCCTCCTGCCCAGCACCCCACCCTTCTCCCAAGCTCTGCATGGGAAAGAAGTGCTTCAGGTTCACTCCTGTGACCAGGGGGCATATGGTCCTGAAAATCAAACCAAGATTGAGTCTAGTGATGATGGGGTTAGTGATATTAGTCTGAACTAGCTGGGGTACCAAAGTTCTTATAGAAGCTTGACTATCAAGTTCTCTTTACCCCTGGATTATTCCTTCCCTACAAGGCCAAGTGCCCCTTTTCTGGGCAACATTAATAGAGAGAATGGGAATACCTCTGACAGTTCATGTCTTCATTTGTAAATTAGAATCTGAGATGCCTAGTCAGCAAGCCTACTACCTGCCGAGCTTTGATGTAGTGGAATGGAGGAGCAACAGGGCTGTGGGGCGAGGGGTAGAGAGGGCAGAGGACAAGGCTCTTGCCTAGGATGGAACAGGCCTGAAAATTGGAGCCAAAATATCAAGAATATAAAGAAAAAATTCTGCTGGATCAGCAAGATTTTTAAATATTGTAGTTACAGTTTTGTTCTTAAGCTAATTGACAGTGACCCTGTAAATGACAACCCCACCCAACCTCATACTGCCTGGTGTGCATTTGGGCACTAAGAGAATCTTCCTGAAGGGCCTGGCTGGACTGACAAAATGGAGACATTTCTCCACTAATCCCAGAGAGGCCAGAAGGAAGATGGAGGCTGAATGGGCTAGGGAATCATTCTAGACTCTTCTAGAATGACAGCCTACCTATTTCCTTCCTTACAAATCAAATGAAACCAAAACCCCCCAGACTCCCACAGATGCTGCCACAGTTCTCTGAAATAGTGCCCATGTTCTCAACTCTTGGTGATTCCTGTTGATTCAGAATAATTCCAGTTCCTGTGTTTACATTTTGTCAAGCAGACAGTTTGCAGCAGCCTTAGAGGACCTGAACGAGGCCATCAAGCTATGTCCAAACAACCGTGAGATCCAGAGACTTCTGATGAGAGTGGAGGAAGAGTGTAGACAGATGCAGCAGCAGCAGCAGCAGCAGCCACCACAGCAGCAGCCTCAGGAGCAATTACCAGAAGAAACAGAACCTGAACCTCAGCATGAAGATATATACTCTGTTCAAGATATATTTGAGGAGGAGTACCTGGAACAGGATGTTGAAAATGTTTCCGTTGGCCTCCAGACGGAGGCTCGGCCCAGTCAGGGGCTCCCAATAATCCAGAGCCCACCCTCTTCTCCAGCCCATCGTGACTCAGCCTACATCTCTAGCTCACCTCTAGGCTCTCATCAAGTTTTTGACTTCCGGTCCAGTAGTTCTGTAGGTTCTCCCACTAGACAGGGCTATCAGTCCACCTCACCTGCTCTTTCTCCAACTCACCAGAACTCTCATTACAGACCTAGCCCACCACACACTTCCCCCGCTCATCAGGGTGGATCTTACCGCTTCAGCCCCCCTCCTGTGGGAGGGCAGGGCAAAGAGTACCCAAGCCCTCCCCCTTCCCCTCTCCGTAGAGGCCCTCAGTATCGGGCCAGCCCTCCAGCTGAAAGCATGAATGTCTACAGATCCCAATCTGGTTCACCCGTACGCTATCAGCAAGAAACAAATGTTAGTCAGCTTCCTGGCAGACCAAAATCTCCATTATCCAAAATGGCCCAGCGACCCTACCAGATGCCTCAGCTTCCTGTGGCAGTTCCCCAGCAAGGGCTCAGGCTGCAGCCTGCCAAGGCGCAGATTGTGAGAAGCAACCAGCCCAGCTCAGCAGTTCATTCAAGCACTGTCATCTCCACAGGGGCCTATGGCCAAGTAGCCCATTCAATGGCTAGTAAATACCAGTCTTCACAAGGGGACATAGGAGTGACTCAGAGCCGGTTGGTTTATCAAGGGTCAATTGGGGGGATTGTAGGGGATGGCAGACCTGTGCAGCATGTCCAGGCCAGCCTAAGTGCAGGTGCCATCTGTCAGCATGGAGGGTTGACCAAAGAAGACCTTCCACAGCGACCTTCGTCAGCCTATCGAGGTGGTGTAAGATACAGCCAGACACCACAGATTGGACGTAGCCAGTCCGCATCCTATTACCCAGTCTGTCACTCAAAACTAGATCTGGAGCGTTCCTCTAGCCAGCTAGGTTCCCCTGATGTGTCACATTTAATCAGAAGACCTATTAGTGTCAACCCTAATGAAATCAAACCTCACCCACCAACTCCCAGGCCACTGCTGCACTCCCAAAGTGTAGGCCTTCGCTTCTCTCCATCTAGCAATAGTATCTCATCTGCCTCCAACCTAACTCCTACCTTCCGGCCATCTTCCTCGATTCAGCAAATGGAGATCCCACTAAAACCTGCTTATGATAGGTCATGTGATGAGCTGTCACCAGTGTCTCCCACTCAGGGAGGTTACCCCAGTGAGCCCACCCGATCCAGGACCACACCATTCATGGGGATCATAGATAAAACAGCCCGGACTCAACAGTACCCCCACCTTCACCAGCAAAATCGGACCTGGGCAGTGTCATCAGTGGATACCGTTCTCAGTCCCACATCTCCAGGCAACCTGCCTCAGCCTGAGTCCTTCAGTCCACCATCATCCATCAGCAACATTGCCTTTTATAACAAAACCAACAATGCACAGAATGGCCATTTGCTGGAGGACGATTATTACAGCCCACATGGGATGCTGGCTAATGGGTCCCGTGGAGACCTCTTGGAGAGAGTCAGCCAGGCCTCCTCATATCCCGACGTGAAGGTGGCTCGGACCCTCCCTGTGGCTCAGGCATACCAGGACAACCTGTACAGGCAGTTGTCCCGGGACTCTCGACAAGGGCAGACATCCCCTATCAAACCAAAGAGACCATTTGTGGAGTCTAATGTTTAAAAGACGTTTGTTGGAGTGAGACCCAAATGTTTTCACTGCACATTTTCAGGCTTGGTTTCCACATTTGAGGTAGTTCTCTGGCTTAATTTCTCATGTAGTTTCTGTGTGGTGTTCAGAGGTGGCAGCCCACATGCTGAAATCCTTTGCATGCAGCCGACTGGGAAGCTGGCCTCCAGTGAGCCAGGACTTCAGTTTTCTTGTCTGTGCCCCAGCCACATGCTCTCTCCCTCCTTCAGATGCCAACGAGGAGATTGTTGTGCCATGTGCTTTAACCCAGGGAGATCAGACACACTGGTCAGCTTTTTCCAGGAGACAATCGCTTTCACTAATGTTCTTGTTGTGTAAATGTCTCTCCTTTTTTACAAAAGTAAGATGTTCTTGTTCGTTTTCTTCTAGGAACTTTAGAAAGAGTATAACGCCCCTTTGCCTTTGCATTCTTAACCAGTGTTATCCAAATAGCCAGCCCCCAGTGCATTCTTGTGCCATGGTCTCCTCCCCTGGACCGCCAGCTCCCTGCAGTCATCAGGTCTAGAATGTTCATTTAAATTATTGCTGGTCTTCCTGTGATGGTAAAAGGATCAAGGAGGAAGAGAAGAAATAAGTCTGTTAAATTGGAAGGAAAAAAACAATATAATTATTTGAAATATTACTACATTGATTTCCCAAAAGGCATTTTAGGAACATTTAGAAAACAAGCAGCCCTTTAAATATTTCAGTCAGCCAAGGAAATTGGATGAGAATCATGGATATTTTTAAATAATTCACTGAGAGTTATTCTTTAGATTTTTAACCAAATTAATCATTAAAAGCTACTGATTTTCCATGGCTGGGTGGGAAATAAATATATAGAAAGAGAGAGAGAGAAAGAAAAACTGTTGTGGATTCTCAGTGAAAGGCTGTAAAAAGTCTGTCTTGGAAGAATCTACTTTTTAGGTCCTGATACATCACTGAGCATCGTGTTCCACCAAAAGCAAACTCTTCTGAAGGTTGACTGATGCAATAATCCTGTTAGTTAGATCTTTGCCTAAAAGCCAGATTTTGTTCTACTGGCCCTCTTTTTTTAAATCAGGATGGTATAGTGAAGAAATTGGTTCTTTGAGAAGCAAATTGAATTCTCATGGAACTGTAAGACTTATTCCCAGGGTTTGCACCCAGGGCCATTGCATTCCGTGCCAGGTGTTGTCTATTCCATTTCGAGATCTATAGTTTCATTATCTATTATTACAAGAATTGTTTCTTCTTTTATCTTTCTAGGTAGGAGTGTTTGTGGAGTGATATTTGAAAACCAGACACAACAAAATATTTCAGGGTAAAGAAAGACCTCTTCAGCCGTGGGTGGGGGCACATGAGATAGACAGCAAGTGTTCTGATCCGGTCACCCTCCACACATCTATGTCCTGAGGTCATTTGCTAACCTGTCCTTTGAGTGACTGAGGCCAGCATGAGATGGACAGCAAGAACACGGAAACCAAAGCCTTAGCACAGGCCTGGTACTGACCACATCAGCTCTCAAAATTTAACAAACTAAACAACTAAAACTAAACAAAAGAGAATTAGTTATTTGTTATTAGGAATCATTCTGCTCTTGTTAGTAAAGGACTTACAGGAAGGGCACTTTCCTGAATAAAAATCCATATGTGACCAGACCTGCTTATAATAGTATCTTCTGAAAGCATATTTACAACAATGGGGAGCATGAAACTAAGATCAGAAACATTGCTAATTTAGATCTTGCCAAATAGAGGGACCCCAAGCCTGAAATGGGCCAGGATCTGTCTCTCTGTGCTAGAAGCAAACAGCTGTGCTAACTCAAGACCCAGACTCTTGCCACTCTCTCTGATGCTTAAGGACTATCTCCTACTCAACTAGACCAGGGTGGACATCGGTGTCTCTTCTCTTCTTTCCTCTCTCTTTCTCTCATCAGGAAGATGGAATGTACAGCTCTAGCATCAGCCTACAGCCAGGAGCCCAGCAGCCTCTCAGCTCTTTCTGTCCAGGTCTCAGCCCTATTGAGCTGTTTGTATCTTATCCCCTTTTTTTTCTTTTCCTTTTCCTTTTTTTTTTTTTTTTTTCTGGTGAGGAAGATTGACCCTGAGCTAACATCTGTTGCCAATCTTCCTCTTTTTGTTTTTCTCCCCAAAGCCCCAGGACATAGCAGTATATCCTAGTTGTAAGTCATTCGAGTTCCTCTATGTGGGATGCTGCCACAGCATGGCTTGATGAGCAGTGCTAGGTCTGCACCCAGGATCCGAACCAGCGAACCCTGGGCCACAGAAGTGGAGCACGCAAACTTAACCACTCAGCCGCGGGGCTGGCCCCCATCTTATCCCCTCTTAACCACCTCTCACTGAGGAGCTGCTGCTACATTTTGAAAAATTTCTCAGTGTCTATTAGAAAAGTGCTCCTGCTTATTTGGAACACCACACATACCACCTGTGCTCACTTATGTAGGTGGCTGAGCAGGTTCTGTAGTTTTACAAATAGCCACTAATGCCACTTTTCCCCAGGGTTTCTTTCAGTTTTCCAGGACAAACAGGAGACTTAGAGTCTATGCCTTATTGGGCAAAACACCTAAATGTCAACAGTCAAAACGCAGTTCTTTTTTAGCCATTGTAAGAGGGAGTGAATATCACTACTGGGCGCCAGTTGCTTTTGACTAGAAAATGCCAACTGAACCTTACTGGGGCAGGAGACAAAGCTCTTCCTTGTCAGTGGACTGCCTGAGCCCTGTTTTGCTACTTCACTGCCATGGGATGATCTTAGTACTGTATCTTAGAGACACCCCGTCCCCAGCAGCACTTGCTGAGTTGATGTCTGGCTTCAGGTGGGGGAAATTTTTCAAATGAAACTGGTAAGTTCCACCCACCCAATTCACATCACCCTGAAATGGAGACAGTGGTGACAAACTTCAGCTTACAGGTTTCTCACCAAATTGTACGTTCCGTTTGCCCAGAATTCTTGCACTAATGGATTTCCATCACATCATGTCTATAAATGGGTGCACTTTACTGTTTGAATTTGTAACTCTGATAAATACTGGATATTTAAGTGTGAGTAATGTCTTCATTAGAAAATAGCAAAACCGCTCTTGTCTTTTAGTGTATTTTTCAAGAAAAAAAAGGAAAGAAATCAAGCAGTGGATCACAACATTTATAGCACAAAAAATAACTGTTGTATATAAGCATCAAAAAGATTAAGAATTTTTAAATACAAAAAATATTTGCAGTGATTTTAAAGTGCTTTTCCAGCAATTTTCTTAGGGACTCCTGAGACATGGTTACTTTATTTACTGGATCAGTAAGGCACACAATTAACAATTAAAAATTAATGTTTATTTACAAAGTAAAGGGAAAACCTGTGTAACATGAGAATTTGGCATGGACAAAATGGAGACCATTTTGTATCTGCTGTTGTATCCTGTCCGGGCTGCAGATGTGCACTATTAAAGTCCCCAGTTAATAGAGCACAACCCTTCTTGTTCCCCTCCCAGGTGCCCCTCTTTTTAGATGTGTTTAACTTAAACTTGAAGGCTCAGGAAAATTCCACTGATTAGAATCATGTACAGTACCCCAGGTCATTGTCCAGAGATACAAGTTTGCTAATTTAGTTAAGCCTGGATTACTAAACACTTTTCCTAAATTATTGTAAACAGAACAGCTTAGAGAAAGGTATTCTCAGTCCTTATATTGTATAGTAGTTTATGAACCCCTCTCTAAATATTGGTATTTTTATATTCCAGAGATGTACCCAATAGAAAAAATCAATCAGTATCTAAGTTAATATCCATAAGTATTTTCCTTAGATTTTAGTCACGTAAGTGGGTTATGTGGATGTCACCTTGCTTCACCATGCTTTACCACGAGGTGTCACTGTGGCTCTGCACCAGGCGTGTCTGGTAGCAAAGAATGGCAGCATCTGCCCTGGAGGAGCCACTTGCAGGGCAGCAGGCAGGCCCATGGGCTCAGAGGGCTCAGGAAGGAGGGAACAAAGGCCGGAAAGGGGGCTTCACACACGTCCAAGCTGTGGCAAGATAAGCTCTTTGAACACTACGTGCTTTGGACCTTCAGCCAGGTGGAGGCTGGGAGAAGGTTGCCTAGAACTCCCTTCTCCAGTGGATGGATGGGTATGTAGAGGATCCCTTTCTTCCCCATGAGCACCCCTCTCAGTTCCTCTTGGCCTCCAACTTTTATAACTCCAGATGTGTCACAGTTGGATGGTTTGATTCAAAGATAGTTCTTTTTCTACTGCAGAAATGCCTTGGACAAAACCAGTTGCTCCCTGAATCTTTGCCACAAAATGGAACAGGCTCCCCCAGAGGGTAGGATGTGCCCACCCTTGTCCCTGCCTCGCCTGCCCTGCCTGTCTGTCGTTGGGCTGCCCACTACTCAAGAAGCTAACCTGCAAAGGCAGCCTGCTGCTGTTTCCACACGGAGGCCTCTGCTGCCCTGTTGTATGAGCACTGGGAGGTGTGGCCTTTTCTCCTTTTCCTCCAGGAATTCCAGAGTGACCATCTACCATGACTAACAACAATGAACACAAAGGGCTTAGGGGTAAGAGCTACCTACAAAGACGTGTCATGGAAACCTTCACCATGCAATGCCTTGAACTCAGCTCTGGCTGCTCCCGAGAAAAGGTGGCTGGCTGGGGGTCTGGACACAAGCACAATGGGGCTGGTGGAGCCACTGTGCAGAGCTACTTGAATAATCACTGGGTCTTCATCAACTCCTTTTGTAACACAGACCACTCAAGGGCTGAAGTGTTGGTAACCTGCATTTCGGTGTCCAATGCCTCACAGCAGCTGAACCACCCTGAGATGCTTGTGGCCATGTAGTGGCCACAGTCAGAGCTTTGAAAGTCAGTACCAAATGAATGCATAATTGGACACCAAAAATCAAGTGTTACTTTCATGTTTCCTCACCCATATCATCTCATTTCTTCCTGCTGACTCTGTGATATCTCCATTAAGCTGACCTGTCAGGTTTTAGCTGGAAGCATGTAGACGCAGGCCAGCATCGCTGTCGTTTTTCAGACAAACGTACTCTGTGGAAAGGAAGGAGCCTAGCTGCTTTGTTTTTGTAGCTCTTGCTGGCTGGATTTTTCTCTCACCTAATCACTAACCAGAACATCTGGTTAGGGGGACTCAAGTCATCTCTTCAGTCCCCAGGACCAGACAGAGGGTTAATTCTGGAAAATTCAGTACTTGAATGTACCTGCCTTATTGTGTACCAACTTACTGGAAAAAAAGGGTTAGAAATGCCGGCTCCAGATCTCTACTTCATTCACAGGTTATTTTGGAAATCTTGTAAGTTAACACTTCCTGTTCTGGTCTGTTTTTGTTTTTTTTTTTTTTTTTTTTTTCCTTTGGCTGATTCCTGCTGAGTGGGGCCAGTTCCTTGTCAGGCTCAGGGCAGGTGCCATTCTCAGGCATGGCCTCCTTTCCATCTAGCACAGCATCTTTGTCTCTGTTCTGTCTCCTCCAAACCCAAGATGATTTTAATCAGTATAGACATGTACAGTCTACAATTAAAGAGTGATTTGTACTAATATGATTTCGATTCTTCCTCCTCTTTGCTGTCCTTTCAAGACACTTGCTGGAAAAAGCTTTAATGCACTTAGTTTTCCTTTAGGTTTTCTATAACTCAGATGTAAAGGACTTTCTCTGTACAGTATATTATCCAACGCATGTTTGTTCTCTATCCTGATATATTGAACACCACACAGTTGTGAACTCGTGCAGTGGGGATGTCCCACACTCAGAGGCATCTAGCCCCCTGTGTATAAGGAAAGACATTTTCCTTTGCTGTACTTGCTTGAGCAGTTTTATTGTCTGTACATGTGAGCTGTGTGAGATAGATGTGAAAAGTTAAATGAATGCATTTTCCTGCCCATGTATACAGATCGCCATCTGTACAATGAACTGTATGTATGAAAGCAAATGTACTTATTTATAAATGAGTAACACTTGGAAACCATGGCATTGTGGTGCTTTCTCCTTCCGTCCCAACACCTCTCCAGGGAGTTGACTCTCAGGCTCGCCCTCACTGAGGCCCGTGCGGCTGGGGAAGCCACCCCCAAGGACAGCTTTGACAGGTTAAGGTGAAGACCACATTCCTGATGATTTGCTTGGTCTCTTGTGGGACATTCAGAGTGACCCCTTCAGGCTTTTATTCACTCAGTGCAGATATTGAGCACCTGCTCGGAGTCGGACATTGTGGTAGGCACTCAAGAGAACCGTGGAGAAGAAAAGATGTTCTAAGGGCCTATCAGCAAAGGCTCGCTGCATTTGTTGAGAAAGGGAGGCTTTTTCTTCAGCGTCAGAGGTTTTCTCCAGCCGTAGCAAGGGAGCACAGAGCCCTGCTCCTTGTTTCATTTTAACAGTTGAGGCCACACCCCAATCCAGCTCCATACCAAAAGCCCAGGCTGACGGGGGCTGCCAGTTAGAGCTCTTCCGTTCAGAGACGGCATGCCGGAGGATGAGGGGACAGCCCTAGCTCTAGTTCCCGAGGCTAACTTGGTGAAAGCTTGAAGCCCACTGCTTCCAGTGACTTTGTTTTTCTTCAGAATTCTGGCTAGAAGTTTGAATCTTGGCCATATAGAGACCTAGGCAGCTGCATTGTGAATGGAGAGGTTGCAGATTTCCCGAAACTGGCGAGAGACTCGATACCTTTTTCTAAAAGTGGCCGGCACTGAGTCCGGCAGCCTTTCCTGCCTAGCTGCTACTTCCGTCTACTTGAGGGACAGGCAAGGAAGGAGACCACTTCCTCTAGACGCCAGATTGTGTTGAACAAACATCCCTGCTGTGTAACTACATCAGTTTCCCCCAAACAACCCAAGATGAGGAAGCAGGAAAACTCGAGGCATGCACCAGCACCCCGGCCTGGACACCAGAATTGCCTTTGAAGAGGAGAGGAGAGAACTCTGTAAGGAACCACCTGTTCGATCTGAAAAACATTCCTGGGCTGTTCCAGTTATTTCATTAAAAATCAAAAGTGGTGGGGCCGGCCCCATGGCCGAGTGGTTAAGTTCGTGTGCTCCGCTTCAGCGGCTCAGGGTTTCCCGGGTTCCAATCCTGGGCGCAGACATGGCACCGCTCATCAGGCCACGCTGAGGCGGCGTCCCACATGCCACAAGTAGAAGGACCCACAACTAGAATATACAACTATGTACTAGGGGGACTTGGGGAGAAAAAGCAGGAAAAAAAAAAAAAAGATTGGCAACAGTTGTTAGCTCAGGTGCCGATCTAAAAAAAACCAAAAAATCAAAAGTGGGTAAGTGGTTAGTTTCAGCTTTTTAAGGATTCCTGGGGCATTGGAAGAAAGGTGAAAGGTCGTGATTCCTAAAAAGCTAATTCTTAAAAGGAATTTGCCCTTAACCTGACTAAAAAGCCACTCAGAGCAGCAGCAAACAGTGAACCTATCAAGTTCTTTGTAGATTCTCAGAAGTCCAGAATCAAACTGCCTTCCCGTTGCTATTCTCAGGCCCTAACAGGCGCCCTTCAGCAGCTCTTTATAGCTTGATGCACCACGGTGCGCACGTGCACATGGTAAACTGGACCCCCCTTCAGTAGGCCAGGATGGGTAGGCAGAGATGGGGAGGGGAACACAGTGTCACCCTCTTTCAGCTTTAAAACAGAAGCTGGAGGAGCTTGGAGAAACTTGGAAACTGAGTCCTCCCATTCTCAGGAATAAAGATAGCACGTTCATAAGGGTGTCATGTCTGGAAGGCCCTATGGCAAAAAGAGAGGTAGTGCAGAGTCCATTGTAATGGGCCATTCTCTTGAGGTGCCCGTTATGTCCCAGATACTGTGATAGGGACTTTACGTGTGTTCTCTATTCCTCACACAGCCTCTGACAGACAACAGTGCTGTCTCCAAAACATAAGTGAGGAAGCAGATCCTGAGAGTTTAAATTGCTCAAGGTCATGGAGGCAGGGACAGGACTTGGAATCGGGTCTGCCCGGAAGCTTTTTCCTCTGTACCGTGCTGCCCCCTTCCTCAGGCGATCTAAGAAAACAAAGCAATCTGAATGACACCAGAAGCACAGGTAGCGGGTCAAGAAGGAAGCTTGGAGAAAGCTACTTTGTACTCCTTTGGAGAAAAAACTTTACGCCAAGGTCAAAAGGAATAACTTTGGGACTTCTAGGAGTTCCAAACCCAGTAAGAGGGTGAGGTCCCTCCTGAGGAGGTAAAGGAGTAACGCTCTGGAGGGAGAGGCATCATTTTCCTGGCTGGAACCATTTGAATATTCACAAGCACAGAGACCCTTCAAGTCCAGAAGCTAGCACAAAAACCGGAAGCGAGATGGCACATTAATGGGGTCAAAAGGCCTCTGCTCACCCAAGAGCTGGCCCTGATCTTGACTGAGCGATCAGCTTGTGCCATGTCTCAAGCCATGTGCTTTGCATGCTTTTAAGCAAATTAAGGTTCACATAGAAGGCTTGATGTAGGAGACACTACAGATGATGCATAAAGCAGAGACCTCTTGAGCTCTGGCTCACACACATTAGAAACCAGATACAACACGGAAAATAAAATAAATGTTACGAAGTAAGAATTCATGTTACCGAAGGATTTTTACCTTTGCAGAGGATTCGCTGTAGGGTCCCTTTAAATAGTGAGCCCCCTCAGTAAGTTCTGAAGTTGTTTTCAGTGATGGTGCTTTTCAGGACACACAGTACGTCCCAGGGGAGCCCCCACCCAACTTCACTATAACACATCTCCAGCCTGAGCCTTAGGAATCGATCTAAAGTGGAATCTCAGCTTGTTCTCAAAGCTTTGCTCCTCTTCTTATGGAACGAAGAGACACTTTTTAAAAGGAAAAAAGTTAATTGAATACTGAGGGGATTTTCTTGCCAAGGCCCTTATCAGGCTCTCTCAGCTCCACTCTCCAGGCCACTCTGGGTTGAGAAAAGGGTTTCTCTAACCACGCGGAAGAGCCTCCCCCTGGGTCCAGAGACTGGACAGCCACTGGGCCATTTCAGAGCCTGCGCCATGATAAATATCATTAATCACTTTCCCTTGTGTGCCCAGCCTGGAAAGTTCACTTTCTCTCAACCCTAATAGAACTAACTTTATCTGACTCTGCTGGAAGCACTGGCTCCTTTTACTGCCACAGTAAATGAAGACAACAGGCGAGAGATCTGCTGTAGACATTTATTGAATCATCTGTTGCACCAACACTACATTGTACTTCACAGAAGACTGGCCACAGGCAAAACAAAATAAACTGCCACTGGTCAGCTTTCAGGGGGCTTTTTGGATCCTTAGTCATCCAACATACACTTTGGCAAACAGAACAGTTTACAGACTTTTATTGTAAATCTAAGGTTCCATTTCTGTACATGGCATTCTGTCAAGAGAGAGACACAATTGTCCTGTGGGAGTTGGTCTAAGGTGGAGTTTTCCCACATGTAAACATTTGACTATACAAGTGTGTGCCAGGTGATGAAAGAATTGATGGAGCCCCTGCCCTTGGAGAGCATACAGTCTAAATGGGGGGCGGGGCAGTGGAGGGACCCTGCAGCCCTGATGGGGAAGGCTCGCCAGGAGCCTGGCCTGCTGGGGAGGGCGCTGGGCCAGAGCCACCTACTCTGAGAAGCGGCACCACATGAGGCAGGACCCAAGGTGAAAGCTGAGCATCAGGAATCTGAGCAGTAATGGAAACTAGCCACTTTCTCCTAGGCAGCAGTTAGGTGTGAAAAAGGCAACCGTTAAAAGAACAGTAGTCTGATTTGGAAATTTTATTAATTTCTCCATTTAAGTAAACTGCATCCATCTCAAACAATGTCATGCTCCTCAAAGCCCAGAAAACAAGGAGAGAGCATTTGCCAAGTCCAGGAAACACAAGATCCATGCTCTAATCACATCATTCCTAGACCAAAGCCCAACAGTGACTCATCCAACAGCATAACACAGTTAGGGGGTTGGGGGAATTAATCAGATTCTGACTCAGTCCCAATTTCCTGCAAAGATGGGCCCCAGGTAAGAGAGGATGGGACTCTCCTCCCGAACAGAAGCAAGCAGCCTCTGCCTTCCCCATCAAAAGGGAAAGGGGGCAACAGCAGCAGCTTTTCATTTAAAAAAAAAAAGGCTTGTGCCCTCGGCCTCCGGTCAGAGCAGTGCCTGAGCTAGCTCATGAGGGTGGGGACAATGGGAGCTCGCTGGCGGAGGCGCAGGCCACTGTGGGGAGTGGAGCCCCTAGAGGAGTGAGCTGCAAGATAACCCACCACCCACAACAGCCTATGCAGGGGGCCATCTCCTTCCTTTTTCAACTGCTGTCAGCTGCCAATGGCAGGTTTGTCTGAAGTCCTGTGCCCCATCTCCTCTTCTAGCAAAGCCATCCTGGGGCTAAGGGTTAAAGAAAGGGAAGCCTCAAGACTCAGCTGGGCCAAAGCCACATCTCCAGAACTTCCCAGGGGCCAGTCCCTCCCGTCTCCTGGGGAGCCTTGCTCTGAACACCAACATATTTTACACATAATATCACTTGCTCCACTGCCAAAGACTGGGCCCATTCATACCACGTGTTATTCAGGCTAGCAAGACTCCTGGTTTGAATTCAGTGTTACACAAAGCAGGTCTTGGCTTTGCCAGCCCTGTCGCTGAGGCCCCGCAGTTTCTCCCACAGCCTTTTGCTCTCTGTAGCCACTGGACTCGGCCCAGCATCCGCTGCCTCGAGCGGGGAGCTGCTCTCCATCTCCTTCAGGGATCTGAGCTTCTGCGACCAGGACTAACCACCCAAAAGCCTACCCAAAGCTTCTCCATTTGAGGGGCTGACAGGGAAAACAAGGGCAGGGGGCTGTGCGTGACTAACAGGATGCTAAAGCAGCAGCAAGGAGGGGAAGCACAGGAGGCCAAGCCCTGAACCCCAGAAATCAGCGCCCAAAGAGGCACTCTGCCCATACTCCCCACCCACTAGGCCGAGCCCCTCCCGGGAGCCACTGATTCTGAAGACAGCCTCAGCGGGGCGTGGGAAAGACACCTAGCGGAAACCCCAGACCTGAGGAGGCCGGCCACAGCCAGGCCCCTCCCCGCAGGACAAGAGCAGGCTGTCACTGGGAGCTGGGGCTGTCACCCTCTGTCAGCGTCTTGAAGTCCATGGAGAGAGCTTGTTCCTCCGCCTGGGGTGGCCGCTTCCAGTCACCGCGAGTCAGAATGTAGAGCACAGCCACGCCGAAGCTGGCCAGCAGCAAGCCCAAAACATTGGCCAGCACCCCCTCTGGCTCAAACGTGCTGTACTTGGTCCTGCAGAGTTAGGGTGGAAGGGAGACACCACCCAAGGGGTCACTGTTACTCCAAATGCCATTCGCACCTGGGCCAGAAAGATGCCATGTCCGTGCCCCACCCAGAGAGAAAAACCACTGCTTGGCTAACTCCACCAAAAGCTGGCTCAGAAGGCAGATGTCCAGGGGAGCAGAGGACAGGGGTCATTCTCTGTAGGCAATCGTGGCACAGGACACTCACCCAAGTTTAAACAGCAGCGCCTCCTTCAGGCCCAGCAGGGCTGTGCCTAGAGACAGGAGGAAGATGGTGGCACCAAAGAAGATGTGCTGGGGGCGGTAGCGGCTCCGCAGAGAAAACGAAGCTCCAGGGAACAGGAAGAAGCTAAAGCCCACGAGCCACTAGAAGGAAAGGCAAGGCGGGCCAGAGACTGAGCTGGCCATCAGCCTAACCAACCCGAGGTGTCCCAAGCAGGCTGCTTCCACACAAGGACTGCGAACCCCTCCATCCGCCCATTTGGTTTCCTCCATCTTAAGAGTAGTGAGGGGAGCACTCAGCACTTATGGGAAAGGTCCGGGCCTCTGACTCTTGAGACCTGGTCTTGGTTCATCACACTTTACACTTAGAAGATGGGGCCTATGGCCAAACACATGTACCACGTCAGCTGGAAGGGTGCCTGGATCTAGGCACCCTCACCTGTAAAATCCTGGCTTTGTACCCATTTCAGAATCTGAAAGCAGCATCCAGTTGGACTAAAGCAACTCTTTCACCTTTGGGCACACACCCTGGAAAATGGAGCCTTGTATGGCACACACACTGCTTTAGGCCTGGTTCCCCTCCTTGCGTCCCCTCCCCCATGGCTGTGGGGCTGAAAGGACTCACCTGCACAAAGTAGAGGACAAAGACCAGGATGCCACACCAGCTGTGTAGGCTATACAGGTCAGCATAGCCATTCTTCCTGTGGTAGTCGAACACGGCCACCAGGCCTGGACCAAAGACAGGGGGTCATGTGAGGACAGGCGACGGGGAAGGGAGGGGTGAGGTGACCCAAGGGAAACTCGAGTAACCGGGACTTCTGGGCTCTAGTCCCAGCTCAATGGCTGCCAGCACCCAATGTCCCTGCCTGGGATGCTTAGAAGGAGGAGGAGGGAGGGGGGTGGACCATAACAGAACTGGAGTGGGAACTAGACACACAAAGCAGCTACTCCCCCAAGTCAGAAGATGGGAGGGAGGGAAGCTGTGCCCAGGAACTCACCCACCAGGGCGATGATGAAGGCGAAGACGTGGAGCAGCCCGTGCAAGACTTTGGTTGTACGTTTGGCCTCGTTCCTGAAGACCCGGTAAACCAGCAGGGCTTCCAGGAGTGAGATAGGGGAAGTCAGCACACTGACCAGAGCTCAAGGCCTCCTGCCCCGGGCAGCAAGGAGCTACACCTTGGCTGGAGAGGTTATCTGAGTGAAGGGCTTGTCGAGGTACCCCAGCACAGGAAATGGAAGAGAAAACAAGGCTCAATGGGGCCCAGCAGGGGCCCTCGGATAGGGCACCCTCAGGCTGCTCTGCCCTAACCCCCACCTCCTCCGGCCCACACTCCCCCCTCCCCCCACCCCACCACCTTCTTCTCAAGTGCCCTATATATTCCAGGCTGTTGTTTTAGGCTCATGGTGCAGTCACACCAAGGCGTCACCAAGCTTCTGAGTTCACCTTTTTAGCTATGATGATCCTCAAACAGTCCAATACTGAAGCCTGGTCAGATATTCACTACTTTTAGCAAGCAGGCTCCCCTGTTGGGAAACCTCTGGTTCCCAAAGCAGAAGCTGGTGATCCCAAGCCAATCCCCCCTCACCAGGCTGAGGCGGGCAGGGCCAGGCGGGGAATGCTTCCTAGGTTCTGCTGCTGAGGGAGTGGCTGTCACCAGGACCACCTCTAGGAAGACTGGGTCAAGCAGATATAGATCTGGCTTTCTTGTTACCAGAAGGAGAAGGCCACGGACCCCTGACCTCAAGGCAGAGTGGGGGCCAAGCACTACCTGGCTCCTACCCCGGAGAGAAGAGCTCTGGCACTGCCAAATCCAGCATCTACCCCCCGCCACACACACACACACACACAGAAGTGTGCGTGCACACACTCAGATTTGTCCCCCAACTTCAAACTGCCCCTGCAGAAGCCAGCCTCAGCTCACGGCCCAGCCCTGGGCCTCCACTCTATGAAGCACACGCATGCTTGCTGAAGCAGGAGGTGAAGGACCTGGGACAAGTGGGAAAGGAGTCACCACCCACCAACCTCAGGGCCTTTGAGTTGGATTCCCAGTGTCCCCAGGCTGTAAGCCAGCTTCCTTCTCTGGCTGTCTTTCCGGGAATCTAAGATTTGTCAAGCTGTGAGAGCCCTCGGGGGTTACAGAGTCCCTGCAAACTGCCTGTCTCAGGAAGAGTGGCTCCGGGGAGCACTGGGCGAGACTCACCGTCTCCCTGCAGGAAGACCAGGCCTATGACCATGCAGAGGGGATGCACATTAAACTGCAGGGCACTCTCCCAGGCGATGCCACCTCGGTAGAGACCCAGCCAAGCGCCAGTTGTGGCTACCACAGTCAGGCCCAGCAGCTGGGAGAAAGCCACGTAGTAAGGCAGTGCTCTGGGGGCGGGTGCCGCGCTGGCACGGCTCTCCATGCTGAGGCAGGCACTGCAGGAAAGATGGCAGAGCTCAGAGGAGCAACCACAACCTCCAGAAGATTCATTCCAGCCTCCCAATGCCAACCCCCTGCCACCTTCCTCTCTGCCCTACTCCCCAGGCCGCTGTGCTAAAGCAGCACTCACAGTGCCCTCTCCAAGACCCTCTACGCCCCCCATCCCAAGGCTCAGAAGAAGCTCGGCAGGAGGGGCACAGCCAGCCCCACCCCAGACCCAACATCGGGCTGTGAGCTGCCCGGAGTTCCACAGGCAACGGGGGCGCAAGTAGAGGGCCTCCAAATGCTGGCAAGAGCAGGAGGGCCCACGCCTGTGCTTTACTTGCTGGTCATGAGGCCCTGGGGTTCTTCAAGTGGGGTTCACAGTAGAAGACAGAGAAGTGAGCAAGTTCCTCGAAGGGAGAGGATTAGTCACATGTTTCCCTCCAGATGGATCATAAAGTACATGTGGGGTGAGAAATAGAGAGCCTACCTGCCCCATGCCCGGTTTTTAAGCTGAGAAGGAGTCCTGCCCACCCCTGGGCCCGGGCCCAGCCCCCAGGGCAGGCCTCCACCAGGCTTGTGAAGAAACCTGAGCTGACCTGCTTTGCCTGACAGGACGTGGGGCATAGGAGCAGCCCTGTAGCCTGTTTCCCGTCCTGCCTCTCCTTCGTCCTCCACGACCAGGCGGGGTTGGACCTGCACTCCTCCCTCAGGCAAGCTTCCCAAAACCGCAGGCCCCAGAAATGAGACCTACAAGGTGAGCCTCACCTTTCGGAGCTCATGGGGCATTTCATACACAAACTTAACTCACAACCATCCCGTGAGAGGACAGTAAAGCAGGTATGTTACTGTACCCAGTCTAGAGGTAAGAAAAGGACGGCTTGAGGAGGTTTAGGAAAGCCTTGCTCAGGGGGCTGCACGGCGAGCGCATTTCCTGGCGAGCAGTGTTTCCATAGCCTCACCCAGGATGACCTTCATGCCAGCTCTTCACCCTGAGTTGGCGTTCTCCAGACCCCGGGGCCCAGCCCTGGCCCACACACCAGGTGGGAGAGGCAGCCGGGGAATGGGAGGAGAGGAGGCAGACGATGAACAGCATGGCCTCCACTTGTTTGCCTTGTTGCTGTCAGCAGCCTGTGCCCAGAGAAGGGCACTGCCACTGCTCACAGAGGGCAGAGCACTCAATATCCCGCCCCCTCAATGGCTGTCAACTCGCTGCTTCCCCACCGTCCCGGCCTCTCCCAGCAGCAGTGGGAACTCCTGCTTCTCCTTTGCTGTCAGCAGAGAATGACAGCTCAGCAGACATGTTCAACAGACTGACTTTGGGTCACCCTCTAACACCCAGCACATGCCTGCTACCCTGTAAGTGCTCAAGAATTAGTTTCCAGGCCGCCTGGCCTTGTCCCCCTGGCGACCAGGCTATCTTTACCCCCCAGTGCTCTCTGCCACATTTGACAAGTATTGGCAACTCTACCATTAAAAAAAAAAAGCAGAGGGGGTGGTGTTAATACACTCTCCCTCCAATAAAATACAGATAAGCCAAAAGAAAGAAATTACACATGATCAACATTTCATTTATGTCCTTACATGCTTTTCTTCCAGAAACATACATTCTTTTATAGAAACAGGATCATACCAATTTCTAACCTGCTTTAATTTAATGGTAGACCATTCATATCTTTCCAAGTCAATGAATATACATCTGTGTCATGATTTTAATAACCTCACAGTAATGCATTGTGTGGCTGTTCCATGCTTTACCCAATCCCGTTGTTAAGCATTTAGCTAGCTTTCAGTTTTTCACTAAATAAACGATACTATGTGATCATCTTTACACACTTGTCTAATTAATTCCTAAATGGAGAAATGGAATCCTACAGCAAGAACCATGTTCTTTTTTTAGGTTTTTGACACATTCTGTGAATTCGCCTTTCAGAAACACTCCCATGGCAGGTGGGAACACCTGTTTCCAGAAGCCCTGGGCACAGTGAACACTTATTTTGGGAACTCTTGCCTCTCTCCCTATCGGTCACTTCTATACCAGTGATTCCTAAATCTAGCAGTAGTTCTGTCCTCTTTCCCAAATATAAACCCCATTTCTGACTGTCCACTAACATGTCTACCTGGACATCCCTCACACATTTCCAACTGAGCACAGCCAAGTCAAAATCATCTCCCCATCGTCATAACCAGGTCCTCTCCTGACCTCACAGGTAGCTACCATGGCTGCCCTTCTCCTAGTCCCAGCACTGGTGCCTCCAGACAGGCCACCAAATCCTAGGAGCCCTCCCCCAGGGCTCTTGCCATCTTCACTGCCACCACCCAAGCCAGCATGGAGCTTCCGTGTGGTCTCTCTACTCTTCAATCTGCCTGACCCGCTAGGAATAGCGACAAAGCCAGCACCCCAAGTCATGTCACTCCACCCAGCACAAAGGGCTGCCCACTGCCTGCCAGGGAAATGCCAACTCTGTAACATGATCCTAACTCCTTTTCCATCTGGAGCCCCGCACTGTTTTCTTACCAAGTCCACTCAGAGGAGACCCTCCCTATTCACTGGCTCTAACACAACCCGCTGTCACTCCCTCCACCTCACTCCCCGGAGCCACTCCCTGCTCTCTGCAACAGCTGCAGCCTCTACTTCCCCACTCACCCTCTGCCCCTATCGATTTGCTCCAGAGCCCGAAATGGGCATTTTGTTCATCACTCTGTCCCCCTCCTCCGCATCCCCGAGGCTGGCCCGGGGTGTACTCACCCGCCTTGGTGTTCTGCCTCACGTCCAGCTCCTGTGTGCCTCTCTGCTAAAGAACCCTGTGAGCTCCTTGAAGGCAGGGAGTGCGTGCTACTCTTCCTGGGGGATCTAATCCCTTGCCCGACTCTAACACGAAAGATTTTCTGAACAGAGAAATGCAGCCCTCCCCTCCTTTATTAGATTCATCCCCAGAGAGCCCGGGGCACGGTCAGAATCTGATTAGCTCTGAATTAGGAAGAACAGAAGGAACATGCTCTGCTGCGGGTTGACCTGCCATAACTTCTTTCTGCCAAGGAGAATACAAAGGAGAGAGGTGGGAGCTCAGGGCAGCAAAGGAATTGTCACTCCACAATCTTGGAGCTACTGGGTGGTGAGGCTAGCCAGAGCTTGCTTTTTTCCCTCCCAACCAACCTCCTAATGAGACGGGCAGAAATCAGAGTGAGGTTCTCTTCATAGCTGTGATACCATGATTTATAACAAGTATATGGGAAGGAGCTCCTAAAACCATGGAATTTCCCTAGTGAAGAAAGTGATAAGGTGTCATTTGTTAAGTTATGTTAATGAAAGCCCCTAGGTAACCCAAGGATGGACCAGTTGCCAAAGGAACCGACCTTGTGATGAAGGTTGGAACTTTCGGTCGCACCCCTCGACCTCTGGGGATGGGAGAGGGGCTGGAGATTGAGTCCCATCTCCAGTGCCAATTTCATCAAGCATGCCTGTGTCATGAAGCCTCCATAAAAACCCAAAAAGGATGGCATTCGGAGAGCTTCTGGGGCAAGACGGCACACCCCATTTCCCTGGGAACAGATGCTCCCGCATTTGGGACCCTTCTGGACCTTGCCCTATGTACCTCTTCCATCTGGATGTCCTGAGTTATATCCTTTTATAATAAACCAGTAATCTAGTAAATAAAATGTTTCTGTGAGTTCTGTGAGCTGCTCTAGCAAATTAGCGTAACTTGAAGAGGGGGCCGCGGAAACCTCTTAACTACAGCCTGTTGTTAGAAGCACAACGGACAACCTGGATTTGGGATTGGCATCTGAAGAGTGGGGGTGGGCAGTCTTGTGGGACCGTACCCTTAACCTGTGGGATCTGATGCTATCTCCAGGTAGATAGTGTCATAATGGTGTTAAATTACAGGATACCCAGTCAGTGTCTGCTGAGAGGTGGAGAAGTACTTAGTGGTGTTGAAAAGAAAACACACATTGGAAAGCACAATGGCAATGACTAAACGTGCGGCTTTAATGTTCTACACTGTAAATTCACATCCTGAGTTCCCTCAGAAGTCATAACCCTAATGCTGTTTGCACCCCACAGTGGTGGAGTGGAGACATGTGCCTGTGTGCATGGGAGGACAGGGGACCTCAGGGCTGGCTGGCGAGCCCCTACTCTGTACCCAGCACTTCCCAAATTCTCCCATTTAATCTTTGCAATAACCGTACGATAGGAGTATTATCCCAATTTGACAGATGAAGAAATTGAGGCCCAAAGAGGATAAATGACTTGCCCAAAATTATCAGCAGCAAACAGCTGCTCCACTCAGTTGTTCATTGAGTTCCCACTCTACGCTGGCCACACTTCTGGATGCTGGAGCTCTACAGAGAAGACACTGCATCTGTGTAATGAAGGTCCCTGCCTTCAAGGGGCTTGCAGACAAGTTGCAGAGCAGATGCAGATTTTTAAGTAAAGGGTAGTAAGAATTCAAGCCACGAGTTAAACTCAGGCCTCCAAGAACACCTTCCACTATACACACTGAAGGCAGTTTCCCCCCTCCTGCACACTGAAGTGGCACACTGAGCAGCTGGTTGTCTGTTGTTGGTATGGCTTTGCCCAGTAACTAGGGTAGAGCTGTCATGCTTTCCAAATATTGACGCCACTCGAGGATCTGAATGGCACTTGCCAAGGAAGCTGACTTGAAGCAGGCTCTCTCGCCCTCCAGTGCCAGTCCTCCTCACCCTTCGGGAGCCATGCTCCTAAGGCAGTTTAAACCCAGCAGAGCATGGAGCACTGACGTCCCCTGTGGGCTCTCCTGGGAGACAAGGCAGCAAGATGGGGCAGGTGGTTAAGAGAGAAGGGGTGACAAGAGGGCGAAGTAGCTCCAAGATCTTTAAGTCAGTTGCTCCAAAGGCAGCTCTCCTGGTCCATACGGCCTCAGTACCTAGGCATCCAGGAGGAAGCCAGAGACAGAGAATGGCCTTTGGAATTATGGAGGCCCAAGCTGTCTCCTCCATGCCCCCTTCCAATCTGAATGTGATTCTAAGTCCAGGTATGAAGGATGACAGGAAAACTCACACCAAGCAAGACTATCCTCCCTCGGGCAGGCCTGTGCCTTGTCTACAGACGACATCTAAGTGTGAAAAATCCAGATTTACCAAAAAGACAAAGTAGTGAGTGGTTTTGTGCTTTACAGAAAACTGAAAGATTCCGTCAGCAACAGCATCCCCCCATTGCTTACTTGGTTCAACATAAGTGACAACCTATCCTTGTGTAAGGAGGGGCTGCTTCCGCTACTGAGGAGAGGACACATTTCCACGACTCTGGCTGGAGTGACCTACCCACAAACACATTTATATCTTCAGACCTCGAAATCAGTGGAGATTCACTCCCTAGCAAGCACATGCCTTTGAATTACGCTCCCTCATTTCCCCATCTGGACATCGAGAACACTCTCGCCCTTCCTTCCTAACTGGGTTGGCCCCCCCAGAATGCCAGCTGTGCTGGGGCCTCCTGGGGTCCCAGGGCAGAAGTGTGGGCAGCAGTGTCAAGGGCCTGGAAGCAGCCACTCTACACCCCAAAGGTTTCCTCTGCCTAGGAGACCAGAGTCTTGGAACCAGAGGGGGCTAATGGGGCCCCTTATACAGCCACCCACCTCCTTCTGTCAGAGCACAGAATAGGGTTGACAGCTCTGGCAGCTTCTGGAACCTAGGGCTGAGACAGTTACCCCTTCCCTCCCACACACACTGGCAGTCAGACTCCACTTAATGCAATCAAACAGGGACAGGAGCTACCCGCAAGGCTCGAACGTGCTAAGCACCACTCTCCCTCCCATGCCCACTGTTTCATTAAAAGGCCACCAGGCCTAATCTCATTATAGGGACCAGACTCTGCACATGTCCTACAGCCTGGAGGCAGGGAGCCTGGCCTGGCCACAGCCCTCCTTATCCACAACAAGGTTTTAATTGGGTTAGAGAAGATTGTGTTGGGGGTGGGGGCTAGATCTTTTCTTGATGCATGAGGGAAGAAACGGCTCAATTGTCCTAGAATGTCCTAGAATGTGATGAAAGAGAAGGCAAAATGAGGGCTGAGCTGTCAAGCAGGGCACTCAAGTAGCTCCCAAGTAGAGCTTGAAGCCAGGCACTGAGCCCAGTTCTCCATTAGGTACAAGGGCTCGGTGCCAGGGTCCCCAATACTTGTGGGACTCACAATAAAATGTTACTATTTCTGCTAAAATCAGAAGAAAAAACAAACTTTTACGGTTGAAGAAAATATTTTAATTTTTAATCCAGCCTGGATTATATTTGTCTTTATAGCAACACAGTTGTAAAATATAATTTTCATTCTTTTTTTATGGAGAAAGGGGCCCACCAAGGCAAAAAGTGCCTAGGGCCCATGAAAGTCACCATGCAGCCCTGGTCAGAGAAGTGATTTTACAGCCAGTCCACTGTTGATGACTGTGTGCCCTTGGGCAAACCAAGTCCCCTCTCTGAGTCTGCTTCCTCATCCACAAGGCAGAGAGATACTGAGACCCACCTTACTGGCCTATAGCAAAGATTAAGTGAGATAAATATGTACCAGTGCCCAGCACAGTGCCTGCCATACTGTAGGCATTCAATCAAATAGCAATCTAACAAAAACTAAATCTGGTCCTAATAGCACCTTAGGAAGTCACACATCAGAAGCTGTTGACATAGGTTTGGGGCCACAGAGAGCCAGATGGCATCAGACAGCACGAACCCTTCTAATAAATCCATACTCCCCTTTGTCCACCACATCCCCCACTGGGCAGAAACCCCTGGATCTGGGGTGGACTCCTCCACCAAGACCTTCTAGTGCTGTGGAACCACTTCCAATTAGCAGAAGCCCAAGCTCTGCTGCAAGGGAAGGTGGCGAGGGCAGGGAAGCAGTGGGACAAGCAGAGTGATTCCACTGCGGGTGCAGGAGGCTGCCGGGCTGTAGCAGCCCTTTCTCTGTACGGGGCTCACCTTGGCATTTACAAATTTCCACCTCAAGCCAATTTCACAAAAGAAATCAAGGTAGGGGCCAGCCAGGTGGCGCAGCGGTTAAGTGCACACGGTCTGCTTCGGTGGCCCAGGGTTTGCCGGTTCGGATCCCAGATGCAGACATGGCACCGAATGGCAAGCCATCCTGTGGCAGGCGTCCCATATATAAAGTAGAGGAAAATGGACATGGATGTTAGCTCAGGGCCAGTCTTCCTCAGCAAAAAGAGGAGGATTGGCAGCAGATGTTAGCTCAGAGCTAATCTTCCTCAAAAAAAAAAAAAAGAAATCAAGGTATCTACGAGAAGGTGGCAAAGCTTTAGGTTTTTTCCATTTGCTATGAAAACGAAGGAACAGAATCCAGTTGTCCTAAGACGGAGCTTCATTTAGTAAGTCTTAGAAAATCCTCAAAGACTGCCAAGGTAGAGTGAATGAGAGGAGAGGTTCCATGAGAAGGAGAAAGACTCAGGAGGGGCGCCAGCCTCTGAAGATGTGTCTGGAATTCCAGGGTCCCTGGGGGGAAGGGCAGGGAAAGAGAGGAGGTGGCCCTGCCACTACCCAGGTCTCAAAGGCAGCAGCAGATCCCTTCCTCAGCTCAGTTCTGCACCCACAGTTCAGGGCCCACCAAAGCCAACTCAATGAGTAGGGATTTCCCAAACGAGAAAGTCCTACTCTCACAGGGAGAGGCTGGGGAAGTACGAGGAGAAGGAAGGGATCCCAGCTAGACAGGTCAACCCAAGAGGAAAGAGGCAGGCGGAGTCTTGGTTTCAGGTTTCAAAAGAAGAGTCGTGGCAAATGTTGATTGATCCACTTCTACCCTACCTTGTTTCTAGAACATGGCAAAATACTAGCCGTGGGCCCAAGATAAACTTGGGGTCACCTGCCCCTCCATTCTAACTTCTGCAGAGCCGGCACAGAGGCCCAGCTGGGGCCCAAGGCTGACCGCTCCAGGAAGGAGCAGGACACACTCTGTAACCTCGGGCCTTGCTCGAGGGCCCAGAGCCTGGGGAAGCAGGTGAGGTGAGAGCCAGGGGTGGCGGCGGCCGAGGGAAGGAGAAACAGTCGCGGCGGCTCCGGGAGCCCAGCCTGTTCTGGCGCGGGTGCGGTGCCACCCAGTCCCGGCGCTGGGCCCACTGCCCTCACCCCACCCCCGTGACACACGCACCTGTGCCCGCCGTCCCCCACACTCACCCCTGGGTGCTCCCCACACACACACACGCACCTGGGCCTGCAGTCCCCACACACCCACACGCGCACCTGGGCCCGCCGTCCCCCTCCCCCACGCACCTGGGCCCGCCGTCCCCCAACACACACCTAGGCCCCCTTCCCGGCTCCGGGGCTCGGCTTGCAACGCCCGGCCCGGGTCGCCTACCTGGCCAGGCGCCGGGCCCGGAGCTCGAGCCCACAGCGCAGCGCCACCGACCGGCCCGCCAGCTCCCGGCGCCGCGCCCCGGCTGCCCGGCCGGTTCCGCGAGCCGCGCCGGTCACTGCGCGGCGGCGTCGTCATGGCGACCGGGCGGTGGCGGGTTGGCGGCGAGGCGGGCGGGGGCCCGGAAGTAGCCCGGCGTGCCCCCGCTCTGGGGACAAGGCCTGGCCCCCGGTGGCCCCCGGGCTTCGGGACCGGGCCCCGCCAGAGCCCGGACCCGCACTGGACGCCGGCCTGGCGGGGGCTGCGGCGCAGGGCGCTGTGCGGCGAGAACCGCCGCCGCCGTTCACCTGGCCTTCCGGACCCGAGCTCGGGTAACCTTTGAAAGCCGGGCCTCGTGACCTGGCTTCCGGGGTCCCCCAGGTTCCGGGAGCCCGGGGGTGGGGGGGGGGGCCCGCGGGTCTGCGTGGGTGGGGGTCCCTCCCGCCCCAGGCCTGACTCCGAGGCCGCGGGCGGGGCTGGGGGGATGGGCTGGGGGCTCGCCGGGGCTGGGGGAGGCCGGCCCGAGAACCCCCGCGCTGCCAGGGCCAAGTCTCTGCTTCCTGATCTCCTCCCTCCACGCCCCACCTTTCTTCCCTCCAACCTTCTTTCCTCCACTCCCCGGGCCCCGCCCTGGGCTCAGGTGGCCACTAGGTGTCAGATGCAGCCCGGGCCTTGGCCTACGCTGTAGCTCCTGCAGCCCTGGGGGGATGCGCTCCTCCCTCCCAGCCCCGAGGGAGGAGGTGTCACTACAGGAAAGCTGGACTTATCGCTTCCCCAATTCCACCGTCACGCGCGCGGGCGCGCACACACACACACTCACTCTAGGTGACGTTTTTGCCCCCTTTAACCAAGCCAGGGGGCAAAGCCCGAGACTGACTACCCACCTCCCCCCAAGCAAACCAGCCTAAGGATAAATACCAGTTCTCACCAGCCCCTCTCATGAAGGCCTCGACCTTGCTGTTGGCAACCTCCCCTGCTCCAACCACTAAGACAGGAGAGTGCCAAGGCTGAGGCTGGGGGTCAGCCCCTACTGCAGCCAGGTCCAGGCCCCCTATCCAGGAAATGCTGTGGGTACATAACAAGTCCAGCTCAGACTTCCTACAAGCTCAGAACAAAAGGTTCTTTCCCGTCAGATGCCTGGCAAGATTCACCAATGGCCTGGAGATAGGACGGTTTCCGCCCCTGGGGACATAAATGAGCTTTAGCAGAGGGCCGTCCCTCCCCCACCTGCCCCCCAGCACTGTGGGCTTCCCATGGCCTTGGGGACCCTGTACCCCATTACTAAGAGAACATACTCTCAAGGGCATAGCAAGGCACCCGAGGGTGCCCACTGCCCTGAGCACACCTTCCAACAGGACAAACCCAGCTGGGCCCACCCCGTCAGACTGACCAAACTTAAACCCTCCAGGAACATAAATTCTGTTGGGGTAGCTCTCCACTTGGAGGGAGTTAATGGACATTTTAAATTAAGAAACCTCCCTAGCGTGCCAACAGGCAAACAGCAGGCAACAAATGCCTTGTGAGTTGAATGTGGAACTGAGCCATTTCCCATTGTTTGGCCTGTATATTTGGGCTTGAAGGAGGAGGACTGGGGTGGGCAGTGCATCACAGAGGAGCAGAGCCTTGCTGGGAACCTGCTGTGCATGCTGAGCTTCCTGATGCAGGGCTATCGGCCCTTCCAAAGCCAGGAGAGAGACTCCTGCAGAGGAGCTACGGGACCCTTGAGGTCCTCCCCACCATGGCCCTGCAGCCCTTGGCTGCAGCATTTTCCCCTTAGGAGGGAGAGCCCATCCCAGCAGCGGTGCTCTCAGGGTCTGCTTAGAGGGGATGCAGGTGGCCTTCTGAGTGAGGTAGGGTGACTCCATGGGGACCAGCCTCCTGGGGACTTAGCTTTAAGGGCTCATGGCTCCACCAAACCATTTTAAAGAGCAAGTGATCCCGCCAAGCTGCAGTCCAGCACCAGGGCACCATGGCCTTGCCCCCTGCTGCCAGAATCCCCAACCCAGGATGGGCGGACCCTCACACTCCCTTCCTCCCCCTCCCTGCTGCTGAGACTCCTGCCTTGGAAGCCAAAGAAGTATCCACCCTACAGGTGGGGCCTGGGGGGGGTGGGAGGGGGCAGGAAAAGAGAGCAGCCTTAAGGCCTTTTCTTGGGGACAGAGAATGTGACTCAGGGCGTTTTCCATGCAAACCTTTCTCTTCCCATGCTCACAAAGCTACATTAGCCTTCATGGTCCTTAGACCCGCCAAGCTCACTCCCACCTCTTCTTTGGAATGTTCTTCCCCATCATCACTTGGCTCATTCAACTCTCAACCTGAACACCTGTCTTCAGAAAGGCCTTCCCTGACCATCCCGTCCAGTGGCTGGGGTTAGGGTGGAGATGTAAGGAGATAACCTGGATTAAGTGTGCTGGTGACAGCTCTGGGAAACCACGCCTTGCACTCATCCTGTTTTTTGGCCCAAAACATTTAAAGAGCAGGAAGATCAAAGACAGTGAGCAGAATGTACCTCATAAACAGGACCTCAGATCCCCTGATCACCTGGCTGATCACATCTGTTCTTACTAGGGTTACAAGATTTAGGAAAGGGGCAGGGGGAGGCCCTGTGTTTTTTTTTATTTTAAATTCAAAACTTCACGTTAAATTTAAATTTCATATTTTTTAGCATAAGAATGTCTCACATCCTACGTGTAATATACTAAAAATGTATTCTTTGTTTATCTGAAATTCACATCTAACTGGGTCTCCTGTATTTTATCTAGCAATCCTACCCTTGCTAGGAGAGGGGTGTCCTAGCCATTCTGACCCCTCCCAGCAAAGCTGCCCCACCCCCAGCTGGCTGAACACACACTTAACTCCTGTTCAGCACCTACTTCAGGCGGAAGCTGGGGCGGCAGAGGTGCTGAGGCACAGGAGGTCCCCCTGTCCTAATGATGAGGATTTTTAGGCTGCTTAATTTTAAAATGGCTTATGATGAGGATTTTTAGGCTGGTTAGTTTTAAAACTACAGATGAGATTCAGGCTCCAAGGAGTGGAATTTGTTTGCCCCTTTGTTGGGAAACATTTACATTTCTAAGGGAAACCTCTATCTGTGAAGATGCCTCCCTCTCTGTGCCAGGAAGAAGGGGGGATGGTCTTATCTCTAGAAGCTCTTAATCAATGCCAGAGGCAAGAACTTAAGTTGGTTACTGTCTGGCAACCTCATGTAACTGACACCCCCCCCCCCCCCCAAATCCTCCTTTGTCTTTAGCTGAGGATAAAATTCAAGCGGTGACTTCTGCCATTTACTCAATCCGGTTTGATTCTTATCTAAAAGTTGTGGGACCGCCAAACGGCCAGACCATACGGGCACTGATACCATTTTAACTTTTTTACATATTCTTTGTCTTGTAAAGAGATAACTCACATACCTATGCCTTAAATTTAGCCCTAACCCTCAACTCGGGGCAGCAGCAGGAGCTCTGACTGCCCGTGGGTTCTGTCCCCACGCACCAGCTCTGCCTGCCCATGGGTCCTGTCCCCATGCCAGCGGGGGCTGCAGCAGCGGCTCTGCCTGCCCATGGGCTCTGTCCCCATGCCAGTGGGGGCAGCAGCAGCGGCTCTGCCTGCCCATGGGCTCTGTCCCCATGCCAGCGGGGGCAGCAGAAGCTCTGACTGCCCATGGGTCCTGTCCCCATGCTATTCTATACTATTCTCTAAATAAAAGAGCACTACTGCCAGATCTTAAGAGTCTAAGAAATCTTTCTTTCGACTCCTCGGCTCACCGACCCCGCATCACTAACACACTGTAAGATGCAAACACACAAAGTTCATGAACTCTTCACAACAGTTTTTATCAAAGAGAGTCCCTTCGATGTGCCAGGTGCTGCGGACATTGGAGACGCAATGAACACGACAGGCACAACCCTGTTCTCTCAGGTCTTAACGCATAGAAAAGGCACTTCACCCACATGTGAGGCTCAGGGAAGGCTTCTCTGGTGTGTGACATAGACTCATAGAGCTACAGGATGAGCAGGAGTTAACCTGGCAAAAGGACGGCAGGGAGCGGGCAGGAGTGTTCCTGTGGAAGAAAGAGCCAAAGGAGCAAGAGCACTGTGCCAGAAGGTGGAGGAGGTCTAACCAGGACACTGTGGGGCTCCCGGGCCGCTGTCGGAATCCGCATGCCTGAACCAAAGCCTGCGCTAGCCTGGGAGGAAAGCCTTGCCTTGGAAAGGCATTTACACAATGGGAAGACACACGCCCTGACCAGAGGGTGAGAGCAGCCTTCAGCTCAGGGTGGCATCCTTAGGCCCACTCCCTGAGGAACATGTTCCAACTTCCTTGAAAAGAAAACTAGTCTGAATCTGAAAGCACATGGCTACTTTGGTGAGCTTAAAATGGAGCTATAATCACTCAGGGAGATAAACCTGTCTTCTAGCTTCAGGGACAGCAGAGGTGGCCAGAAAAGCAGCAGCCCCAGTGGGAGCAGCCAGAGCATCCAGCAGAGCAGCAGCGATGGTGGCAGGAGTGGCAGCAAGGCAGGGGAATGGCCGAAAAGCTTCTGCAGCCACCGATGGAGACAGTGAGTCACCTGGGACCTCCAAAATGTTAAGGGATTGGGCTGAGGGACATCACAGGCTGTGGGACCCAGGCTGACCCCAAGGCTGGTCCAGTCTGGGAAAACAAGACTGAGACAAACAAGAGTAACCTGCCCACAAGCCAAGATAACACCCCAGGAGGGATGGAGAAGCCATGAGAATCAGGACAATCAGGCCAGCTTTTACCTCTTCTGGGCCCCAAGGGAACAGGACGTGGGTTGGAAAAGCAGTGGTGGGAACCAGCCTGGTGCAGAAGGTGTGGGAACAAGCATTGTGCAGGAGGTGCCGTAAGTGATGAGGATCAAGGCTGCCCCAGGGGGAAAAGCCCAAGGCATCCTGGCCTACACACTGACCTGCATCATCCTCTGGGAAGCATAGGACGTCCTGACCTGATCCAATTTGATCTTATCCAATCTTATCTAAAGTTATAGGACCACCCAATAACCAGACCCCAGCTGCACTGATACCATTTTAACAACGTTTTTACATAACCTTTCCTTTGTCTTGTAAAGAGATAACT